CAAATATATTTCAAATAATATCCTTATAGTAAGATCAAAACCTTTCTGCATTATTGCGAATAAAAATCTTTAGATATTTCTTATAATGTTATATGTGATATTCCTTAAAACATTTATACTATGGGACACTTTATTATTAAAACTCATATTCACTTATATGCACTAAATATAGTTCAATGTTTGTAGGCTTCTTGGGTTGGAGGTCTTATGCCGTTGGCTGGTTTGGCTGGAGGAATATCTGGTGGCCCTTTTATTGAATATCTGGGTCGGAGAAACACAATTCTCGCCACCGCCGTACCATTTATAGTATCGTGGCTACTCATTGCTTGTGCTGTAAATGTTGGCATGGTTTTGGCTGGTCGCGCCTTGGCTGGATTTTGTGTTGGTGTCGCCTCTTTGTCTTTGCCTGTTTATTTGGGTGAAACTATACAGCCGGAAGTTCGTGGCACATTGGGTCTCCTACCGACAGCCTTCGGCAACATTGGTATTTTGGTATGTTTCGTAGCAGGCACTTATATGGATTGGTCGAAGTTGGCATTCTTAGGCGGTGCGTTACCAGTGCCATTCTTAATATTAATGTTCCTTATTCCTGAAACGCCACGCTGGTATGTATCCCGAAATAGAGAAGAAAGAGCACGTAAAGCTTTGGTCTGGTTACGCGGCAAAGAAGCTGATGTGGAACCAGAACTCAAGGGCTTGATGCGTTCTCAGGCAGATGCAGATCGACAAGCGACGAAAAATCAGTTTCTAGAACTGCTTAAACGCAACAATCTGAAACCACTCTCCATATCCCTTGGTTTAATGTTTTTCCAACAATTTAGTGGCATCAATGCCGTAATCTTTTATACAGTACAAATATTTAAGGACGCCGGATCAACAATTGATGGAAATATTTGTACCATTATTGTGGGTGTAGTGAACTTTATAGCAACCTTTATTGCTACCGTTTTAATTGATCGTTTAGGCAGAAAGGTAGTTTAATGTAGAACGAATTTGAAACTATCGTAATCCTAACAATCGACCATTATATTTCAGATTCTTTTATATATCTCGGATGCAGCTATGATTGTTACACTTTTTGTATTGGGCGGCTTTTTCTATTGCAAAGCAAGTGGCATAGATGTTTCAAATGTTGGCTGGTTACCTTTGGCTAGTTTCGTCGTTTATATTCTGGGATTTTCTTTGGGTTTCGGACCCATCCCATGGCTAATGATGGGTGAAATTTTGCCCGCCAAAATAAGAGGTTCTGCCGCCTCAGTAGCCACTGCATTTAATTGGTCATGTACATTTATTGTAACCAAAACCTTCCAGGATATGATTGGTATGTATTTCATATTATATGTTAAAGTTATGCTTTATTTTATTTCCTAACTTATTTTGTAATTTTACTTTCAAGAATCTATTGGTGGTCACGGAGCTTTCTGGTTGTTCGGAGTTATTTGTTTTATCGGCATGTTCTTTGTTATTCTATATGTTCCTGAAACTCAGGGAAAATCCTTAGAAGATATTGAACGTAAAATGATGGGACGTGTAAGACGTATGTCATCAGTAGCTAATATTAAACCACTATCATTCAATATGTAAAAATAAAACAAAATCTTGATATTGTATAGTATAGTAGATTGCTCCTCTCATTACCCATTTAAACAATATTTTAAATAGATCATACATGATTAAAAACCAAATATTAATGTAAGAATTTAGTTAAGCAACTTTGTTAAAATCTGAAAATATTTAAAAAAAAAACTACACCTACTTTTATATGCAAAATGTATACGTTTGTAAATGCGCCATGAAAGCAAAGCTTTTCCTCTCTTAATGGACGAGCTAATTTTACTATGTAATTGGTAAATAACATTGTTTTCACATTTTTTTAAATAATTGTAATTTATATAATTAATGTGTATTGACAAAAAAAATAATTTTTTTTTTAATGTAGTTTCTAATATATCATTTAATGTGTTTTAAATAAATAAAAATATTTTTAAATTCTTAACGTGAAACTAAATTATTTGATGATCAACCTAATGTTAAGTAAGTATAAGTATGTAATTAAAATATTGCAATCTAAGTACGTACTTATATTCGTACATGTACTTATGTTCAATTTACATAAACTTGTAAAAAAACCAAGTCAAGTTTTAATTAAACAGCATAATTTTTTGTAAAAGCATAAGTAAAAGTGAAACTTTTAAGTGATGCTATAAAAAACTGGACTATAATTAATCAGTTTTAAAATAACTACTCTTCTGCCCTTTGAAGCCATTAATTTAAAGGTTACTCCTTCTATTAGGGCTTTTTAATAATATAGCGATAAGGCGTATTACAAATAGCAATTAAGCTTGCCTGTTGTTCAAATGTAAATATTGTATTGTTATCAATAGATATTTTTTGTTATTATACAATTAAATTTGTATTAATTCACATTATTTTTTCTATATTGCTGCGGTAGAAATGATAGTAGTTTAATCAGTAGATGTACAAAATTACAAAACGTAAATGATTTTTATTTGTATTTTTCTTCGGGTTTATTTTGTCATATAAAAAATGTAAAAATAATAGATAATTTAAATCCCAGTCAGAATTTTATTTTAATCATTTTACCTTCAGGTAATAAGTTTGATTCTAGAACTTGTATTTAAACTTGTATAAAACGGATTCACTCATTAGTAGCTGAAGGCAAATACATTTATCATAACTCATACGATTCAATACAAATCTACAGATCTATACAAAATTGTAATTGTAAATTGTAAATTCTAATTGTACAAAACTGAATTAAAATAAAAGTTCAATACACGCAATTTTTTAAAAACATTTGTGAACTTTGAATGCTTTTAAAGTTTTTCTTTGTAAATACATATCGTCATATGAAACCCAAATGGCCCTAATGGTATGTTTCCACTGGCTTGAAATCTGCTAGATTTGCGTAAACCTCTTCAAGGTGTTTCCACTGAGCTTACTCGTTTTTGATATTCGAATTTTCGAACAAATTCTGTCACTTTATTTTTTCATATCCACAATAAAGTTAATTTTATGTAAAATTACATATAAAAATAAAAAATTAAAGTTGTAAACGAATAAATTTATTTATTAAATGCCACTAATTTTAAAATTATAATTTGTTATTATTTTCACTTCGAAATTAATTGTCACTTTTTCGATGAAAACATTCAATTTGAATGGATAGCCCAAAGAAGTATTTGCTTATCCTATACACATCGCAGTGTTGCATAAGCAAATATTGTTCGAAAAAATACAATATAGACATGTTTTAAATCAAATCTAGTAGATTAACTAGATTTGGATGTGTCAAAAATGTATGGGAAATCTACATGATTTCAACTAGTTTTGCCCAAATCAACTAGATTTGCTCAAAACGCCTCAGTGGAAACATAGCATAAGTTACAAAAAAATGATGTTCTAAAAATATCTTAAAATTCATGAAAATTTTAAAATTCTTTTGAGTTTTAAACTTCGAAATTGTAAAATGTTATAAGTTGGCATCAAATAAAATAAAAATGGCACTTTTAGCGAAACCTTGCAATTTATAGATTTTTTAACAGCTTTAGAATTTTTTCAAAAAAAAATCCAATTTCCGAAAATCTTTATGAAAACAAAGAAGCCTTATGCTTACCATGTTTCGGCCTATTTGACCAACAAAAACCGATTTTAATTTAGTTAAAAATGTTGAAACTTACTATTTTTTAATGTAACTTACGCCCTTTTGGGCTTCAAAAAAAACAAATTCTCAAGGGCGTAAGTTTTATATCTCCACAATTAAAACAAAAACAGCAAATTTCATGGAAATCGGTCCATATTTGAACCTAACTTCCATAAAACAACTCATTTTATATACGTTTGACAAAACCACTTTTTTCGACTACGACAATTTCACCAAAATTGTTGACAATATAAAGGCGTATACTTCTGTCTAGTCGGGGTAAGTCCCAAATATATGACTCCGATCAAAACAACAAATTTCGAAAATTCGAAATTTGGAGCAAAAAAACACTATTAATATGGCAAAAAACGTTCCAAATTTCGAAATTTGTTGATTTGATCAACAACTTATTCCAAAGTATTAAATTAGAATCATAGTCACTATAAATACATACATGTGTATGTAAATATGATACTCTGCAACAGTTATGAGTGCAATGGGTACTATGTAGGTAAAATAAAGGAATCATTACAACCATTTTCAATATGTGATAGATGAATACTGTACTTCCCAGCAGTTCGACGGGACAGTCCCGAACTGACCACTTAACCTACCACTTGTGGTGTCCCCTAGCCACCTGACTACCATTTTAACATGGGCTTGTCCTACGAGGAAGTCAATCGTCACTCTACACCCTACAAAGGGGACACTAAAGTGACGACTGTCTTCATTCTCGTTTACAAAGAGTTTATTTGTGACGAAAAACCAAAAACATACGAATTGGAGGTGGTAAGATATTAATGGAACTAAAATTTAAAAATTTCAATTGTATACTCTCTAGAATACTATGGGACAATAATGTGACGATTGACCCGAAAGATATAAATTTGAGTCAACCAGATGGTGGCACATTAGTAGAAAGTAACAATCATTTCTCCAAAAGATGGGTAAAATAACTACTTTCGGAAGTACAACAAAAAAAAAAAAAAAAAACAACTTTTAAGAGTATAATCTCTAGGTTACTTGAGGACAGTAAAGAGACGACTGTCTCCGCTCCCGCTTACAAAGAGGACACTAAAGTGACGACTGTCTTCATTCTCGATTACAAAGGGTACATTCGTGACGAATGACCCAAAACATACGAATTACGATCATCCAGGTGGTTAACTATTAGTGGAAATTACTGTCTTTTTCGTATGCATTGACTCTTTGTCGAACTGCTGTGTTATGACTAAGACTCTTTATTCCGACATTATGGGATAGAACGAATGTCTCACATCTCCAGATTGGAAATAAGACCGTGTTTTATATTTTGATCTGACAAAACTAAACTTACCCATAACTTGTACACGGCAAATTGCACAAATGTCACATTCAACATCCCAACTCCACATAGCAACTGCATTCCACTTTTTTAAGGTAAACATTTTTTCAGGCTTGCTTCCATCATTATCGTCGATTTGCCTGTCCAAGGAATTCTCACTTTGATCATCCATTTCTAATGCAATTAACAAAAATTTAAACAAACACAATAAGTATTCTTTTCCAATAATAAAAACAATAACAAGACGTACAAGTTGTTTGCAGTGTTGCCATACATTTATTTTTTGAAGAAAACATTATTTCTAAAAACAGTTTTGATAACTAATTTAAAAATTAATCTTTTAAACATGTGCCAATAGCACTCATTATTTTCAATATATTTAACTCAATCTAATCACTTAGTAAAAGAAAAAGAATTGGCTTTCCAATATTCCAAAAAATCTTAATAAACAAAAACTTTTTTGGAAAAACTATACATATTGGTAACACTGGTTGTTTGTGGCGGAAAGCAGCAATGACAATTTTTGGTACTTAAAATACAGAGTTGATTTTGAATGATATTAAAGTATTGCCATACCACAATTAATTTTGTTAAACCGTTAAAATTTACACTTCACATTATTTAAATAAAATATTTGATTACTCTAAGTTAATAACGGAATACAAATGTCACGAAATCGCTAAAAAAATTGAAGTTATTCCGTAACCATAGACAAGCGTCTCCGTCGTTTTTTAATAATTATTTTAGTTTAGTTATTGAAAACGATTTTCCTGAAAGTAAAATTTGCAAGTTAAATTATTCTCTAAGACTTAAAAATCATTTAAATCCCAAAGTGGATTTTAAACTGATTTAAAAAGACTGCGTGCCTCACTGACATAGATAGATAACGATTGCTCTTTACAAACAGAACTTGTAATAACTTTTACAACTTTCAACCGGTTTATGAATTTTAAACATAGCTGGATCGATAATTCAGACCTATTGGGCAATGAATTAAAGTAGTATTGCTCTAATTTTTCCAAGATTGTACTTTCAAGGCCCAAAATACAATTGCCGAATACAAAGTGCAAAATACAGAATAATTGAAAACATCCGATTTTCACAGGGAACATGGCATCAAAAAGTCGAACTCGTTAACTTATAAATTTTGACTAACGACAAAATTTTGTTGTTTAAAAATTATTTAATTGCTTTACTGATCTAATATTAAACTTATTAAAAAATATGTTTTTTTTTTTTTGAGTTTTCAATTATTATTTGATAAAATTCAAAAATACAATTTTTTTATTATAAACTATTAAGGAGGTATAGTAATATAACGAATTTAAGAATATTATAATTTTTAATGGGTTTGGTCCAAAAAAGAAATAAATATTAGGATTTGTCATAGTTTACTTTTATTTTTAAGTAGTTTCATAACTAAATTCATTTTTTTTTTTTTTTTACAAATCCCAATATTCTTTTGTGTTTTGACATTTTTTTTTCATAATTGCTTTATAACAACGATAAAGCAAAAGATGAACAACAAAACTAATTCTTTAGATGGACAATAAAGCATAATGTTTTATATAAATATTTAATTTCGTTTTAACAAAGTTTAAAATAAGAAAAATCAATTTAATGAATGCTTTTTTAACATTCTAAAGTTTTTAACACAAATGTCAGCTTTGTATGTTTTTTTTACAAATTATACATATTTATGTATAAACTATGTATACGTACGTACACATTTTTAAATTTAGTTTTATATTCAATAGATGTAATTCACAATAACGTATTTATTTGTGGAATAAAAAAATTAATAAAATAATGGAAAAAGAATAAAGATTTAAAAAAAAGTTTTAACAAAACAAGAAAAATTTATATTACAGCTAAAAACATTGGATATTTTGGTTAAAAATAGCAATTAATGAATAATATAATTAATAACATTTTTATGTTGCAGCAACATTTGGGCATGGCATTACAGTTATAATGTAATTATTGATTTTTTTTTAAAATCATTTTTATTGTTGGACTCATTAGTTAGACGCCGATACAGTCACCGCGGCTGGAGTTGCGTTGTTGGTTGGATTTGCGGTAGCAGTTTGATCGTTGGCCACCGGTGTTTGGGTTTTCAATAAGTTTTTGTTATTGTTGTATGAACGTGAATTACGTTTTCCACGTTGATTTTTGGGAGATTTGGTAGTAGAATCAGGTATGTTGGCTGCATTATTGCTACCTTGCTGTTTATCTCCACCAGCGCCTTGTTCATTGCCAACAGAGCGTGTCGCATTTCCATCGTTGTTTCTTACATTGTTACGCACTGAGAACATAAAAATAAATTAATATTTTATACAAAATATATATAATTGAAAAAACTGCTCTACTTTTAATTAAAATTGTTCCCTTGTCCCCTAATTTCAATGCGGAGAAAATGTCAAATTACACACTCTACAATTTGCAATTGTACTTACCACGTCTATTACGACGACGATTGTTGTTAGTCTTTACAATCGGCCTAATAGTAGTTTTGGCTGGATCAAAATAGCTATCAAACAAATCAGCCAGTTCGGTTTTCTCTTCAGATTTTAGCTCTTCAATGACTTGTAAAATCTCAACAAGACCATCACGTTTTTTCTCCGACCATATGGCATTCAGTGTCTGCAAATCATAAGAGTGTTCAGCTAAAATAATGCGAAATTTAACAGCACGCACGCGATGATACAGAGTGGTCTTAAAGTAATTCAAGAAAACAGGACGGAAAGAGTTCTGGCGTTCCAAATTTTCATTTTGTGTTTGTAACTCATTCAGATCGCATTCAACGGGTTGGGCATAGGGGTGCAATGCGGTGAGCATTTTATCGAAGGCATTTGTGGAGTCTAGTGACTCCTTCGTGCCTTGATTACTTAAATGCAAAGCGACTTCAAAAGCAAGTTTGGCACGTACACTTGCATTGCCATCGAATAGTTCGCGCTCATTATTGGGACTAGGTTTTGGTGATTTCTTCTTCTCTGGCACTTGCTGTTCGGGCAACGCGGATGCTGTTTCACCAGCTTCCGACGCTGTGGTAGTGGACGATGCGAAAACACTATTATTATTTTCTTCAACATTAACATTATTAAAGTTGTCTTTCAAATGTTTTGACAGTTTGCGTAATGTATAATGTTGCAATGCTTCATCAGCGTTAGCCTTAGCCAAGTTGAGACCATTGGCAAATGATTTCACCGTATTAAGGAACCTGTCCAGCAGGTTGTACTTTTTAAGTGATTCCAATACCATGTATGGAATGAATTTACGCTCTTCATGATACACTAAAATAATACCTTGAGAGCCAGTATCTTTGGCTTTAAGAGCCTCAATCCAGTGTAAGAAATCTTTAAGGGCAGCAATTTCTGATTTTGATTTTATGATCTGAAAAGGAATACACAACAAATTTAAACATTAATAAACAAATTAAAATCAATATGATCTGCAATATACCTTATAAGTTTGTGTAGATTTAAGCATACGATAGAAACCAATTGAGATCACACGCACTTGGTGGCGTTGGCGAGCAGCCGGATTTAAATTCATATATGGCATAATATACTGTTCAAAATGATCATTTGGAGTAAAAGCAGCCAACTGAACAATCTATAAAAAATGGAAAAAATTAAGACGTGATAACTACTAAATACGTTCACTTAATTTTCTAATTTTATATTAAAAGAAACGAAAAAATTCCATATAAAATTTATTTAATAATCCTTTGATAAATTTAATTATTTTACTAACCTCATCAATTAATCTACGTCCAGTTGTATCAATATCAATTCCAACTAAGGTATATTTACCCTTAGGAAGTGTTTTTAAAGTCACTTGATCATTTTTGTTTTTAGGCACAGCTCCATTGCTTGATTCAACCCCATTCTGGGTTATTGTTGTTGAAGTCGTTGATGACGATGTTGATGCGACCATTTTATTTTTTAACAAAATTTATTTTTATTTTGTATTTAAAAGATTAGTCAACTGTTTGATATAACTAAAAAGGAAAAAATAAATTAAATAGTATTATTAAAAATATGTGTGTTTATTAAAATAGTTATTAATCTATGCTTTAAGTACATAGTTATTTAACTCACAACTCAGGTTGTAACTTCGTATAGTTTACTATATAAATTTTAAACCAATTACAGATCCTGCAAATATTCTTACTTAATTTTAACAATATACCTAAATACTTTATAAAACAATATTTACTTCGTAATAAGATCTATTGTTTGTTTTCCTTAATAATATTTCAACTTTTAGTTTACATATGTATATGTATGTATACTTATTTGCTTTAGTGAATCTATTCTCTTTAAATAAATTAATAAAGCAATGAATAATTAACGAGAAACATTTTAGTCTAACGGAGTTTTTTGTACGATTTGGGGATATCCCCATTTATTAAAATAATTTGTAGCTCTTTGATAAGGCAATTGCTGATTAGGTTTTTTTATTTCAATAGTGTGCTCAACTTTAAAACCGGAGTAGACGATGACATATTATTTTTATTTTGTAGACATACATTTTTGGAGGAAATAAGTAATAAACTATTTAAATTACATAATGTAATAATAATTTACTAATACTTATAGGTTATAACTCAAAAAACATACATACTCAATTACAAGTTAAGAGACTTTGAAAGTTTGTTGTAATTTTATTTTTATTCAAATAACTTTAGCATCCTTGGTAAGTAAGAATATAAATAGATATGTACTTCTTTTTGTATATATAGCAGAATCGTTTAATTTACAACTTAAAATATCTTATAAGATTAAAAAATAATTACCAAAAATTGTGTTTACGTCTTTTTCGGCAAATATTTGATAGGTGTATACTTTTTCTCAAATATAGAACCAAAAAAATAATTTAAATTTTCAAAAGAAAATAATATCTGATATTTTGTGGCACTCATTTCAAAGCCACTGAAATTTGAGTTAATAAATATAAATTTTAATAAAATCAAAAAATCTTTCTTTGAAATTAGTTTTTATAAATGGATTTGCTACTTTTCTTTTTACCTTGTGCAATTACAGAAAATTGAAAGTATACAAATTTATTTATTTAAATTAAACTTTTGTTTTATATAAAGTGAAAAATATACAGTTGAGAGAATTAGTTTTTTTAAATATATTTATAATAATAAATTAGCACAAACAATATATAATTCAATGACTCATTATTAATTTCAAAAATACAACTCAATATAAAACCACATTTGTTGCGAATATGTATTACCACTGGTGGACATTTAAAATAATTTATTAAATTATAAACATACTCGCATACAAAGAAAATATTATTTTATATTATTAACAAAATATGCATGTACAGCTTTTTTATGCAAGCTAATTACTTATTACCAATCTACTTTTGTAAGATTAAAAAAGTTTTAAACATAATTCGTTAAAAGGCATGAAGATTGTAGCTTCACTAGACAGTTACTTTGTATAAACTTTGAAACTGTATATGAACTTACCCCTATTTAAAATTGCTGGTTTTATTTAATTATTTCCTAGCACTTTTTGAAGTGTTAATTTTTAGAATATGTTTTTCTTTTTTAATAAAAAAGTAATTATTTTAAAAATAAGCAGCTAATTTTGCACTACTTGATGTCACAAAATACTTATATAAAATGGTGCGTTAAATGTTCTTTATATACATACAAGCTAAAAATTGTTAAAAAAAATTTGCAAGTGAAAAAAGAAAACGGTATATTTCCAATTTTAATACATACTTAGACGGGAATGCAAATTAAAAGTTAATGCTTCTCTTAGACAATTCTTCTCTCATCAGATATTTATTTAAATTTTTAAGCGATTTCATGAACATAGCTCAAATTTCACATTTTTCGTTTTCTCTTTTAAATTATGCACTAAATTTTAAAGTTACTAAAGTATTTTAAACTTAATAGCTTTTTGATTTTCCTTTTTGTGAATATTTTTTAACACAAATCTTTATTTTCTTTTCGATTTGAAATTTTTATTTTATAAAATTCAAAAACGCCGAAGGAATTGACATTTAAAACAATTTGCAATAATTCATAGCCTTCTTATAAAAAACTAACCTTATTAAATACAGTATATAAAATTTTAAAAACATACAAAGTAGCAGACAGAATAGAATTTAATCATTATTTTCCAGGGACTGTAAATAAGTTATTATGAAATTTTTAACCCAAAAAATCTCTATATTGGAGTCAACGTAGACCCATAATTTATATACCAATATACTCGTATTGATGTGCTTTTTCAGAATATATGGTGATTTTAAAAAAACGATCTTAGCTCCATAAATAACAGTTATTTTTTAACGGAAAAATAAAAGTCTGATTGAAACAGTTAAAAAATGAGTTTTATTTTTCCGTCATAAAATAAGAATTATTTGAGAATTTTTGTTTTATTTGAGAAGTTTTGTTTTTCCAATAAAAAATTATAGTAAAAATGTTATGTATGTACCTATTTTTAGGAAAAATTTATAAAAATCGACATAATTAAAGTATTAAAACGTTAGATATTTTTTAATTCAGACAAGTTTGAGCCAATTTTTTACTTATGGACACAGGAATTTTCCTCTACTGTTTAATACCCATATCGACATATTGGACCAATTGAAACTTCATTAGACCTTTGAATGTTTAAAGTCCTTTTGAGTAGTATAGTTATATCAAGTATTTATGTAGTTTCTTAATTATAAAGACCTGCTGTTAAATAACTTTTTTCTTTCAAAATTTGATGCACGGTGTGATCGATTAAACCAGGGAATCCCCCGGCTTTTATTAAAAACATCTCTTACTGATAAACGCGATATAAAAAGATTACATTTATGTAATTCTCTCCCGGATGCAGTAACTTTATTAAAACACATTGACTGGAAGTTCAATGCAAACAGTATAAATCTAGTTTTTAATGAATTGTATAAAAATAACAATACATATTGTAAAAAATATATTTTTCTCTGTAGCTCCCCACTTTTTCAAGCTGTTGAATGCTATTTCTTAAACAACTGTGAAGTCCACGGCGTCTGCCATAAAATTGATTCAACTGTCATTTTAACAGGACTTTCAAAAATCTCGAGACTGAATGGAATATAATAGAATTTATAGACTCCGGCAACACAATATGTAAGTAGTTGCAGTAACAGTCGTGATCAACCAGCATTTGAAATCGTTTATTAATCTTAAAATAGTTATGTCAATGGATTTTAGCTAAAAACTATGAAAGTGAATCTATTCAATTTGCAGTTGAAAAAAATCGTGAATTTTTGGAAATTGCACAATTTTTGTTTAAATAATATGGAATTTCTACTACGAATAAAACCACGAAACACCCACTATTTTGTTCCTATGTTTTGTGTTTTACTATATTCAGGTTAATTAAATTTAGACATTCAATGTTTGAACGACACTCCACCTCGTACATATCGGTCTACGATTCTTGCAAAAATTCCTTACGTTGCTATTATTCATTTTCTTCGAATTACTTTAAACTAACTAAAGGAGGTGGGGAGGTGTTAAAATAGAACTTACAAAAATGTGATCTTTCCACTGCAACAAGTGTTATTTTTCTTCTTTCTTTTTGGTAATTATTGCAGTTCTTGTTTTTACGTTATTATTGGATTGAATTTAGATTATTTCTTTTTTAATAAAATTGAGAGCACTTGAAATGCAAATATGTATTAATTGCAGCGATTTTCTAAAATATTTTTTTCCGATTAGCTCTAAAAAACAAAAAAAAAAACAAAAACGTTCTAGAAGTACGCACAACCACCACACTTAACGAACTGATAACAGCAATGTGTATTAATAAAGTGACGACAGGATTTTTTGTACAACAAATATCTACAACAACCACGGGAAATTGTTTTTGTTATTTTCTGTTGTTCTTGTAATATTTCTACCCATCTGTCAAAATTTGCCTATTGTTTTTGTAAATTTAATATTTACAAATAATCGTCAGCGGTTCTTGTGAGTTTATTTTATTAATATACTTTGGATAAGAGTTGAAAAGTTTTCAGAGTTGTATTTTTCTTTCAACATCAAACAGTGAAGTCAAGCTTTTATAAAAGTGTCATGGATTACTAAGTACTTTTTTATTATCTTTACTGGTCACATTTTTAAAGATTTTCATATAAATGGCACAATCAGTCTCCAATATATGACCTGAATTCATGACGGTATGTATGTGCAATGGGCTTGAATAATTTACATATTGCAGTAATTATTAATATTATCATCAAATAACATCAAATAACAGAAGGAGAGCAATTTAAGGAGTCATAACGAGATAAACAACACAAGAAAAAAGTTGTATTGTATGTTTTTAAGTTATTACATTCTTTACGTACATATGTAAAGCGCCTTGGCGACACATCAAATTGTTTGACTCAAACGGTAAGTTTTTTGATTGGGTTAGTAAAAAAACTCACACCGCATAAATACATGTTTTCACTAACTGCCAGTCCACACTAGGAAACTTTTTTTGGGAAACTTTTGATTTTGCGTGAGAGAGAAAGAGAAAGAATATCATTCATCTCTCTCGCGGTACGGAGTTTCTCGTACTCGGAAACTTGTTTTGTTATTCTTCTCATTCGTACAACAACAAATCAATGCAATTAATACGTAGTTTCTGAAACAAAAGTTTCTATGTGTGGACATTAAGGAAACTTCAAAAGAGAATTAAGAAAAAGTTTCTCAACAAAAGTTTGCTAGTGTGGACAAGGTCTAACAAAATCAAAAACTTACCGTTTGAGTCAAACAAATTTGATGTGTGGCCGTATCTCTTAAATGAGGTATATAAACAGTGTTGCTAACTTTGTGGTTTTCGCCCTATTTATGGCGCTCTTTGATTTGTCAAACGCGTAAACACCAGCTGTTTAAATAAACAAAAATAAAATTTTTTAACCTGTCCACACAAAACAGATCCACTTGTTCCATATCTGTGTGAAATTTTCGAAATGATACGTTAATTTGGAATTGAACTAATAATAATGCTATCATGCGTTTGGGTCGCAAACTAAGTTTTCGTATGTTAAAAAAACACAAATGGAAACTAATAGTGGCAATTTTTTTAATCTTAACTATCAACTCACTCTATCGAAAGGTAATAAAAATATAGAAGTAAGCATGTGTAAATAAGATGTACAAATCACAAGTTCAGTGGTATTTATTGATTTTTTAGATTGCATTTACTCCAACCCATTATGCCGCAGTTTGCGAACCCATCGATGTTGTGTACACTTGGGTAAATGGTTCAGATCCAGCATTTATAAGTTCTATTAAAAAATATGACCCAAACTTTGATCCAGCCAGATTTGATGATAAAAATGAATTAAAATATTCTCTACGTTCAGTGGAGAAATTTGCTCCATGGGTTAGAAATATTTATATAGTAACAAATGGCCAAATACCAAAGTGGCTCGACTTAACGAATGAACGTGTGAAAATAGTGTCACACGAAATTTTAGCGCCAAACTCACAATGGTTGCCCACATTTTCCAGTGCTGCTATAGAGACGTTTATTCATCGAATACCTAATCTCTCAAAAAGATTTTTATACCTTAACGATGATATATTTTTGGGTTCAGAATTGTATCCAGAAGATTTATACACGGACTCAGAGGGTGTCAGAATTTATCAGGCATGGATAGTTCCTGATTGTGCTGAAGATTGCCCATGGACTTATATCGGCGATGGTGCTTGCGATCGTCATTGTAATATCGAAGCATGTCAGTACGATGGAGGTGATTGCTCTGAAGAATTCAGCGAAAATGAGGACGACAATAAGAGTAAAGAACATTTGCAATTTATTCATGCAAACAAAAAGATATCAACAAATGTTGAGATTAAAATGTTTCCAAAGAATAATCATTTGCCCCACCACAATTATGGCAATCAAAATATTAGTTTTAAAAATATATTATTACAACATAAAAACTTGTCGGAAACTGGAGATTTAAAATTGGTTGTTGACGATTTCAATAAAAAGCGGCAATCAAGATTTTATCAAAAAATACAGGCTAAGTCTATAGTACAAGAAAACCCAATCAGAAATAAATCCGTTAACTCATCCCAAGATGTTTACTCACAATCTCTTATTAAGACTAATATGTTTTTAAATCAATGGTATGGTTTTAGAGCTAGAAATGTGTTAGCCCATGTAGGATTCCTGTTGGAAAAACCTGTTATAGAAGCCATGCAGGCAAAGTTCTATAAAGAAATTACCGCCACTGCCATGAATCGCTTTAGATCACCGAATGATTTACAGTACGCTTTTGCCTACTATTCCTTTCTAATGGAAGAAACCAAGAGAGTTACTGTTAGAGAAATATTTAATGAATTTGATACTGATCATTCAATGACATGGTCTGATCGTGAAATACGTACTTTTTTAGCTAAAACTTTTCAGTTACCCTTGGACTGGTCAGCTGTAAGATTTTTTGAAGATGTCATACACAATTGTAGTTTGCTCCACAAATCAGATGTTGTTAATAACATTCGATATACTACTGTTATGTACGAACGATATGAAGACTCTAATCTAGTAAGTATAGTTTTTAGCCATTTAAATATACAATGAGTTACACGTACTAAATGAAACATATTTTTAGCCAACTGTAACCCGTGATCTAGTGGAAAATTGCATTCCTTTAGCTGAAGCTTTAGATGATAACTTTGCATTAAGACGAAAGTATAAATACCATATAAATCCTAAACATTATATCCATAACAATTTTATGATGCTCACATCTAATTTAACAGAAGTTGTAAATGCTTTAGATAGAATACGTCGGAATCCCAGGTATAAAAAATTTTAAGAACGATTTGACTAGGAAAAATTTTGCTTTACAAAAACACCTTTCTTTTCAGAAAATTTAATTGTATCAATGATAATCTGGATCCCAAATCGTTAGAAGAAAACGAGTTAATTCGTCATCTTTTAGAAGATTTTTACTTATCTTTATTTCCACACCGGAGTCAATTTGAATTATTGCCAAAATACCGTAATCGCTTTGAAAATTGGAAAGACTATTTAAAATGGCGAAGACAACAAAGAGCTATATTAATAGTAATCTATGGTTTAAGCTTTTTAATTTTAGTCTATCTTTTGCGATCAATTTGCATTCATAAGGCTAAATTTGTTAGCCGATGTATACAAAAACTATAATTTCTCATACTGATAACTTTAGGACAATTAAATGTTTGTTAGAATTGTGACGAGATGTTACATGATATCAAAAAACAAAATTCTAAAAAATATTATTTTCATCATCAGAAATAAATCTGTAATTTTATTTTTTGTATTTACATAAAACAGTCTATTTTTTTGAATTGTTTCGCAAATTTAGTTGCACTTTAACGGGTTTAATTAATGCTGTAATTTTTGTAGAGTACAGTAATTTTTTCCTTTGAAAGATCAGTCACATCATCATCATCACTAAAGTCATTTGCGCTAGTAGTTATTAGAACATGATGGGATTCTTCGCTTTGATCAGAGCCTATGACCAAAAGTGCTTGGGTTTCCTTTTTGGCGTTGCTTAGCACAGATATGGTGGGTATAGGTTGCTCAATAAGATGTGCATTTTGTTTGCGTAACTTTCGAGTCTCTTCAAATTCTCGGGGATGTACTTTTTTGCGGTGAGAATGCATATTTGCATTGGAGTTAAATGTTTTAGGACAGTGTGGGCAACGGTATAAAACTTCTCCGGTGTGGGTAGTCATATGTTCTCTTAATGCTATTGGTTTTTTAAAAGTTTTTCGACAAACACCGCATTCGTACGAACGTTCTGTTCCATGGACATATCGCTTATGACTTAACATAGCACTGCGACTGGGAGATACTTTATGACATATATCACAAACGTGAGGTTGCTTAGATTCCATATGTCGTTTTTTATGTTTATTTAATGCGTATTTATCCTTATGCCATGAACCACATAAATCACACTGTACTTTAGGCATTGTAACACCCTGATGTTCCAACTGGTGACGCTTAAAGGCGGCCGGACCCCGGATGACTTTAGCACATATATCACACATTGTTCCATAACTGCAATGCTGCTTATTGTGCTCATACAGCTCTTCCAATGTATTAAATCTAAAATACACATAACAAAGCAAACAGGAAATTATTCGTCTTTTTCAAAGTTACGAAATCCAAAAATGGTCACCTTCTATTACAGGATTTACACGTTGTAGATCGATCACGATGTGCGAACATTTTATGCTGTTCTAGTAGATACTTCCTGACAAACTTTTTAGAACATGCAGAACATTCGTAAATTTTATCTTCATCTTTTTGATGCTTAACTAAGAAATGATTACGCATTGATTGCCGATCGGCAAATGTACGTTCACATTCTTCACATCTAGAAAATAGAAACAAATGTATTATGCGTCTAAAAATTTATAGACATGTTTATACCTATAACAATCGGGATCTAAATGTTGACGTATGTGATCCAAGAGAAGTGCTCTTTTCAAAAACTTTTTGTTACAACATTTTGCGTAACCTTTTTTGATGTTGTGAGCCTCTCGCATGTGAGCTCTCAAACCCGCAAAGTTTTCTGATTCCGAACTGCAAACTTCGCAATGTAAGGTCATGTATTGAGAAATCTGTTCATCAATTTCCTTCATTTTTGCCTTGTATGCATCTTGTTCCTCTTCACTTTTATTAAATTTTTCTTTTGACTGTTTGGTACAACGTTCAGATTTTACAACAATTTCTCCCTTCTTTGGCCGCCCTCGTCTTCTTTTAATATTCGTCGTTGTGTTGAATCCATTATCTGTTTCAGTATTATCTAATTGTGTTTTGTTGGAATTTCTAGTCGATCTTCGTTTGTCTGCTTTAATTGACGAGGTGTTTGACGTATCTTGATTTTTTACTGGCTCTTTATTCTTGTTAGTTAATATATTGTTCATAAAAGCTTCTCCATCGAAGGTATCATCGTTGTCACTGTTTTGAGTATCATTTGTGTCGTTAAATTTCGCATCTTCGTTGTAAGTCTCATTGCACCTGTTACTGTCATCGACATCATCATAGTCATCTTGGCTGAAATTATGTTGGGACAAAATATCACGCGAATCTTCTGCACCTAATGCAATAGCTGCAGCTTTAGCTACGGTCTTACCAGGCTCATCATTGGTATCTTCAATTAACATATTGAATGGTACTTCACCAAGTTCATTAAATTCATCGTCCGGTTCTCGTTTACTTGGCAATGAACTATAATTTATGAGATCATTAACATTCAATGGGGAGCGTCGCTTTCCTTTAGCACTTTCTGTTTTCACTATAAATCTCTCTGTCATATGACGATGTACATGTTCCACCATCTCGTAAAATTCATGAAATTCACACACTTTAATCCAACACAATTTACATATTGATGTTGATATTGGATCATCCTTTCGAGGCTGAAATTAGTATAGTTTAGATATATATTCTCAGCTCAAAAATAATACAACTTCAAATTTACCTCAAACCAAAAATGTTTACCAACAACTTCAGCAACGTTGAGCTCCTGGCCATTGCTATCAAAAATATTTATAATTTCCTCAAAGTCCTTTAAGCACAATCGACAAATCATTATTCATTAACAATTACAAACTTTCAACAAAATAAATTACATTCAACGGGATTTACAATAATAATAATAATAATACTTAAAATTATTAAGGGCAACAATTAAAAGCTTCTTCTATTTTACTTAAACATTCTCTATGAACTAATAGCATGTAATGTAAAAAATCATGCAAGTGACAATAACAAATTGAGTGTAACTCATAAATATTGAGTGAGCTGCACTAAAACTAATTAACTGTGAGTTTGTGTGATTTAACGCTATTTTTTATAGATTCTAATTTAAAAATATCATATTTTATGTTTAATTAGAAGGAAATATATTAAATAATAAACGGAATTCGTCATTTCGATAACGCTCGGTTACGCTATGATCGAATAAAAAACAGAATCGTAAGAAAAAAGAAGCAAATTTCAGTGCTTTACTATTGTGTGTATTCTATGCATTACGATCGTAGCTATGTATGTACGACGTACATTGTACGTGTTTGTAAGTTGTTATTTACTGATGGAAAGTCTAATGGAAATACAGAAAACCAAAGTTGAAGAAAATATCGATTCGAATCGAAATGCTCTTATTAATGTACATTCATACATATACATATGTATGTATGTTTAATAAAAGGAATAGAATAACAAAATGTAGTAATACATTCTCACCAATAAGTTTTATGATTTTCCTTCTTTTATAAAAATTCTTATGAATATTACTCAATTATTAAACTTTTTTTACTTCTTTTCTACAAAATTTGGAAAAGAAAAATCCTTCCGAGATACTAAATAAGGGGGTTAAATTGATTAGGATACTATATAGTCGATTTTTGATGCATGATTTAAATTTTGGAGTTTATACTATTTAACATTTATTTTGTTTTCTTTTAATTATTTAAATAAATGAAATATAATACTTAAGCGCTATAATGTCAACATTTATTTACAAATACATACATTCATATGTATTAATTTACATACATACATACATTCATACTATGTAGGAATGTATGTATATAATTTTTCCTTTAATACAATTAACACATTTGGCTTATTTTACATGGTTAATAAAGTGCAATTATATATACATTTCATACACACATATGTAGTATATAGCAGGTGTATATGTATGAATGTATGTATATATTATTGCAATAACAGATCTCGTATGGATTTAGTTGCTAAATCCTTCTTCTCTTTTGCTCCTCCTCTTCCTCCTTTTTTATTGATGTTATTATATAATTAATCCACATTTTCCTCAAGAGTGGATTGATTAAGCGTAGTTATCTCCTCTTGCTCGTCCAGCTCAACGTTGCGTGCGTAAAACGTATAATTTCGTAACGTTTTCGATGGAATTTTCGCAATACTTGGTTGTTGTTTGTTTTATCGCTTGTGATCGCGTTCTGTGATGGTTTTAGTGTTTTTGTTGATATTGATGATAGTTGCAGAATTTATTGACTGATCTATTTTTTATTTATTGGAGTGTTGTAGATCAGTTTTTATTTGTTTATTTGTGGTGGTGGTAGGAGTGATGTTCCTCCTTTTCGAATATTGGCACTTCAACATGGTACTTTTCTGGATATGGAATTTCTTTGTGTACAGGAACTTTTACTTCTGAGTAGACGGGGTAGGGTTTTTCAATTGGAACCTTGACTTCATAAGGTACTGGCTTTTCGACGGTGTAATGAACCTTCTTTTCGACTGTGTAGGGTTGAGGAACTGGTACCTTGACATGTACAGGATACGGCTTTTCAACTTCAACCTTGTATGGCTTGTCGACGGGAACCTTCACTTCATAAGGTACCTTTTTCTCAACAACAACTGGATATGGTTTCTCAACTTCTACTGGGTATGGTTTTGGTACCTCAACTGGGTATGGTTTTTCGACGGGCACCTTTACTTCATAGGGCACCTTCTTAATTACCTCATAGGGCTTTGGTACGGGAACTTCAACCTTTACTTCATAGGGCACCTTCTTGATTACTTCGTAGGGCTGTGGCACTGGTACCTTGACTTCATAAGGAATTTTCTTAATGACTTCGTAGGGTTGGGGAACAGGTACTTTCACTTCGTAAGGCTTGTCGACTGGTACCTTAACTTCATATGGTATTTTCTTCTCTACAATATATGGTTTTGGTACATGAACTGGTACTTTGACGTATTCCTTGACATGAACGGGCACCTTCTTCTCAACAATATATGGTTCTGGAACATGCACTTTCACTTCGTATGGAACCTTCTTCTCAACAGTATATGGAATGTGTTTTGTTACTGTATATGGAACGGGTACCTTTTTCTCGATGGTAACGGTCTTAATATGTTCATGATGATGATGATGACTGTGACCATAATCTCCTAAATATAAACCACGTTTCTCCACAGTTTTACTTTTGTCTTCTGAGGCAACTTCCTCGGCACAACTGACCATTGCCACGCACAAAGCGAGACAAGGAAAAACAAACTAAAAATTGGAATAATAAAAAACATTTAATTAGATACAAATTCACTTTAACTGCTACTTTTACTTTCAAAAATTACAAAAATAATTATAAAATACTTTACCATGCGCATTGTTGAGCTGTTGGCTGGATAAAATTTAAGAGGAAAACTATTACACTATTTTATTGTATCGCTTTAAACGAGATCTGAGTTGATACTAATTCATGGAACCACCAGTCTTTGCCTTATATACCAGTTGTATTTTCAACATTCACCAGAAACATTTGAATTGTTATTATTTTCTGTTTTTTACATTTTTTTATATATTTTAATATTTTTCTTTTGACTACACTCGACTGTGTGTCTTCACTGTTAGTAGTTAGTTAGTAAGTCAGATGGAGGGACGGACGGACAGACCAGTCAGTCATCAAACTAACAATAATAATATTCATTTACTTATATCCAACCATCCATAGATACATACAACAAGTAAACAATTCATACAACTAAAAACAAAACAGAAAAAATAAAAAAAAAACATTCAACCAAAGTTAAAAAAAGTAATAAAAGTGTAGCAAGCATAACCATCTTATTATTACAGCCAAATGTATATGAACACTTACATACATATGTATATATGTACATATGAACGTACATATCTACACACGAGTGTATGTAAGTTGTAATATGCATTTGATATACTCGTATTTTCGAATGTTCATTATTATATGTATGTATATGTATATGTGTATGTAGATATGTATGAATGTATGTTTGAGTACACTATCCAGCAGATATCTTATTAGGACAGGAAGCAAAATAATAAAAACTTGTTGAATTTTGCAAGTATTATTGCAACATCCCTTATGTATCAATTTACAATTGTGTTTGTAAATACATATTTATGTATTTACATACATACATATGAATGTAATTATGTAGGTTACTTAATAATTTATTTATATTTGGTTTTTGGCTAAAAAAGAAACACAATGAACTTTGCATTAATACTTATTTATTTATGTATGTATATGTATGTATGTTTATGTAGTTGATACTAGTTTGAATTGATCAGATTTCATTGTATGACGCAAGGTTATTGCTACATCGCAAACCATTCATGTACATACATACATACATATGTATGTATGTATGCAGGTATTATAAGACAATGCAACAGATAGTATGTATATATGTATGTATATATTTTTGTGTACAATAACATATGAATGTAAACATCTTTAAAAAAGACCACAATTGATCTAATACTAATATTACATAATGATGCGGTTAAAATGAAATTTGCATGCCTACATGTATGTATGTAACAGGTCCAAGTTTTATTTATTTTATAATGGAAATTCTCGAGTTCCTCAAGGCTTTACATATTTGATTGAAACTTGTTAAACTTTTTAATAAAATTAATTCATATTAAAAATATTTGGATTTGAGTGCACAAATGATTTTTATAACTTTTGTTAAATAAAATGTTTATGTTGTAGATGTATGTATGTATGTATGTACATTAGAGGTGTCCAAAAATATAAATTTTACTCAGATAAGACCCTTATTTTATTCATAAGTTTCTAAAAGTAACTGGTGTAAAATTTTAGTCAAATCGAATTTTTGGTCTGCCATTAAAGCCGCCCTTGTTGATGGAATGTATCCATCATCGAAATCTCTATAGGCCATAATTTACCCTGCCCCACATATAAGGTCACCTTCAATCATTGATTTTAACGTTTTTTACGAACTTAATAATACCATAATAAATTAAGTTTTGTTGAAACGAAAATATGTATGTCTACCAAATTTTATGACAATCGAAGCATAATTCACCCATAAACCCATATGAGATGTTCCTCAGAAAATGACTAAAACGCACAAAAATGGCTTTTACATGTAGATGTAATAATGGAATTCGACGAAAAAAAACTTTTTTACGAACCGAAACCTATATTTATGAACCTAAAATTATGACGATCGATCCGCCAATATAACCCTTACAGAAAATCAATTTATAGTTAATACCTACATCATTCCAAAATTTTATCGTTATGATAGAATTAAAAAAAAAATACTTTAAATTATGGAGATCTTGGTCCTTAATTGACCCAATCCCTCATTGAAGTCCTTATGACCTTATTAGACTCTTATTTGTTGCTAGAAATTACTAATACGCCAATATTTATGAATACAGAGTTGCCATAGTGCATTTTTAAGTAATTTTTTTAAACCGATTTTAAACTAGGATAATAATATAAACAAAAATAAATATAATCAAATTGAGCTAAATTAGTTTCAGAAGTAATAATTCTTGTATTATTTCAAAATAAAACTTGGAATAGATAGAGTGTTTTGGAATAGATAGAGAGTTTTACATACAGAATTTTTGTCTTTGAAATTTATATCACTGATGCGGGATTGTTTGCCGGATATTTTGCCATCAAAATCTCGTTTTCATGGAAGTTACAGATACCGACTCGATATATATTTTTTTATTCTTTTGGTAATTACCTCCTTAAATTGTTCGATGGGTTATTATATTTTTTTATTTAAGGAGAAATTCTCTTTTCATTGATACCAAACACTTTGTAGTTTATTAATCGCCATGTTTTAAGTACCTTTGTCCCAATGTGCAATGCAGCGGGTGTGCTTGTGTCTGCAAAATAATGCTAATGGATCTGCTGGCTGCCATGTTGCCGCCGACTGCTATTGAAAATGAATTAACTTTTGTCATACCACCGAAAATGAAAGTTTGGTTCATTATAAGATACCGTTTCCCAAAATTTTTGTCCTTAGGCCAATGTTTGGTGATCTGGATCAAATAATAAGAAGAAACTTTTTAAAGATTTTCCTACTTTATTTATATTTCACGTAAAGGAATGATAATTAATTTTGATATCATTGAAAGGTCTCTGAGAGGCGCTTTTAATGGCGTATTACAAATTAAAGTTAAAAAAAATTTAAATGTTATTTAGATTATTCAAAATTTTATTATATAGATTACACTATGCGGCAAAAATAAAAACCTGGGAAAATATAGACTGATCATCATAAAACTTGGTGAAAGGATTTGTTTTTAATTTTTAAGAATTAATCAAAATTTTTAAAATATTTTTTTTTTTAACTTTTTAAATTTTTTTTATTTTTTTCAAAACCTGGGAAAATATAGACTGATCATCATAAAACTTGGTGAAAGGATTTGTTTTTAATTTTTAAGAATTAATCAAAATTTTTAAAATATTTTTTTTTTAACTTTTTAAATTTTTTTTATTTTTTTCATCCCTGCATATTTTCTCTAACAATTTTTGTGCTTGCTCTATTTTGTTGTTATAAATTATATACAAAATCCCACTTTTGTATCTCTCGGATTCCGTTTTTATTTAAAATCTTTGAATATTTAAAAATTAAGCGTATATGAAGAACTTTACCGGCTTACAGTCGATTTTAAGCCGCCGCCGATATTTTTAGTGTCAGCAGCCGCCGTTAATATTTGTCGGCTTTTAACAAAAGCTGTCAAAGAACCGCAAAAGTGTTTAATCATTTCGCTGGTGGTAATATTTTGCAAATTGTTTGTTTCGACTTTTGAAAACTAATTAATAATGTAAGTAGTACTCTCAATAATTTAAGATTATATTTAAGAAAAAATCTAATACAATATTTACGTTAATGTTTAGATGTTTCTTACACGTTCCGAATATGATCGCGGTGTAAATACCTTCTCACCTGAGGGACGCCTATTCCAAGTGGAATATGCTATTGAAGCCATTAAATTGGGGTCTACGGCCATTGGCATTTGTACTTCAGAAGGTACGGCTGACAAAAAACTTGATTTAATACAATATATATTTACTTTGGAGTCACTTTTAGGTGTTGTACTGGCTGTTGAAAAGCGCATAACATCGCCTCTGATGGTGCCAAGTACTGTTGAAAAAATTGTGGAAGTCGATAAGCACATCGGTTGTGCTACATCCGGACTTATGGCAGATGCACGCACCTTAATTGAAAGGGCGAGAGTAGAGTGTCAAAACCATTGGTTCGTTTATAATGAGAGAATGTCAATTGAGTCATGTGCCCAAGCTGTTTCAGCTTTGGCTATTCAATTTGGCGATAGTGGAGATGGTGGCTCTGCTATGAGTCGTCCATTTGGTGTGGCCATACTCTTTGCTGGCATTGAAGATGGCAAACCACAACTTTGGCATATGGATCCATCTGGTACATACATCCGCTACGGGGCAAAAGCAATTGGGTCGGGTAGTGAAGGCGCTCAACAAAATTTACAGGACAACTATACAGCCGAAATGACTTTAAGTGATGCTATTAATTTGTCACTAAACACACTAAAACAAGTAATGGAAGACAAACTTAATTCCACAAATGTTGAGGTGATGACCATGACTCCGGACAAACTCTTCCGTATGCATACCAAAGAAGAGGTTGAAGAAATCATAAACAATTTGGCATAATCGGTGTTTATTTATATAAGTGTAGTAATTGCTAATTTTTTTCATTTTGCTATAGAATTTGTAAAACAGTATCTAACGGAATAAATGGAAGTTTAAAACTAAATAAATTTTCAAGTATTGAGATAAATATGAGTTATGTATGTATACATTGAAAACGAGGTTTTGGTAATTGAAATTGTTTTTCAGTTTTTTCTGTGTACAAACTCGGCACTGACCGGGGTTTTAAGTAGTTTCAGAATTTCAAAAAAAAGCTGTAATTCAATTTGTAGCGGATATAAAACCTACCAGAAGTATCTTACCTACCTACAAAATATACAGATATAACTTCTGATTTTATAAATGTACAAATCCGTTTCATTAGAATAATAGCAAAATGTTACAGAAAGTAACAAATCTTACATCCTTTTTTAAGAACTTTTAAGACTTAGTAAGCTATAAAGGTTTGTATAGTCGAACACTTGCAACTTCATAGGATGTTATCAAAAATCCTCTTAATAGAACAACAGGAACGAAAGGTCTAGAAATTTGCTAAAAATTGAATATTTTATCCCCATTTATTACCACATGAAATAAATAAACTGAAAATAACGAATTTCCTAATTATTTAACGGATGGAATAATTAGAGTTTTTAAGAAAATTGCAAACAAAGGAAGTATTTAATGTAATTTTCATATATCGTACATGTGAACTAAAACTAGGAAAATACATAATGATAAAATATTTCGCATTTGTATATTACTAAATGTTTTGATGAATGCAAAATTGCAGAAATATTAGAATAATATCAAATAAATACTATTTACTATCCGCAACGATTCAAGACTATTAAAGTGCAAGTCTTTATAATTACTATTAATTCTTATTTAAAATTGTGATAGCTTAATTACATGCATACATTGTATGTGCTTTCTTATCCGACTACGCTAAAATACATTTATTCGAAATGGTAAGGTATGATTGCAGTTGAGTTAGTAAAATTCAATTAAAGTTTAACTTCTTAAAGGTTAAAAAATAATTATGTATGTATTCCTTAGAGGAAAATAAAAATGCAATGTTTTTTAATTTTTAATCGAGTATGTCGCACAAATGTGAATTCACATTCACGCGGATTAATGTATATATGTAAGAATATAATAATTAAGTATATTTACAGATAAATTTTCAATTAAAGACCGTCAAAAATTTTGAAAATTTTTGACTTGTTCAATTCATTTCACTTTCACTACCCTGTGACTTGTTGTTGCTGGTGATGGTATTACTAGTATTTGTGTTGTTATTGTTGTTACGTCTGAGTAACAAACTGGCATTTGGATCGGTAAGTGAATAAATGTCGGGTTCAAAAACTGGCGGACATTCCATATTTGGATATTCGGTGGTAGCCGTCGATGAAGTATTTGATGGCGGCGTCACTGCAAAATCTATCACATTTGCGTTGGAAGATTTGATTGGGGGAGGAGGAGCTGTGGTATCTGGGGCAGAAAGGATAGCGTTGTTTGAGAGCGATGAAGTAATCGATTGCTTGCGATAATTTGAAGGCTGGCTTGGAAATATGACTTGAGCAAAGATTTCTTGATCGTAATCACGCCCCAAAAAAGTCGTACTTGTAGGTGTTGACGGTATCGATACGATTTGCTGCGTGTGTGCTTGATTGTGATGACCAAAAACTGTGCGGTGAAACAATGGAGAACTGGAATGCTTCTTTTCTTTTTTGTTTTCCCCTTTCGTGTTAGAATTGCTGCCCGATGTAGACGATGAGCCGGAAGAAAAACTGAGTTTTGAGAAAATCGGCATGGGTGCAGAATTTTTGCGCTGAGCATCATATTTGTCTGCTTTTTCCTTTAGATCATTGTTGTATGTTTGACTCTTTTTAATGCCACTACTACCGCTGCCCGCAACACCACTTTCATTGACATTATGATGGCTTGATTTTTTGTTTAGTGGTAAAGTCATTGTAATTCCTGCAGTGTTACTGGTTGAGTGTTTGCCAAATTGGAAAATTCTTTCACTCGATGTTTTAAAGGACTCTAATTTGCCCTTTTTCTTAAAACTCCCGAGTCGTCTTTCCGAACCATTTGCAGCATAATCAGCTGCAGAGCAGCTGCTGCTAGTTGAATGTTTCTTATTTTTATTTGAAGTTAACAAAAATGGGCGCGATTTCATAGCGGATGCCCAGTTACTTCCGTGACTGCTGCTAGTTGCTTCCAAATGTTCGGCACTGCTCGTTGAGTGATTGGAAAACTGACGAGAGGTTGATAAACGATTTTTAGAATATGAAGATATGGTGCCGCTACAGCTACCGCCTAAAGGTTCATCACCAGATATTAATTCATAACCGAAGTCCCTTAGCTTAAGGCCTTCCTTGGTACGTGTTAGTTGTATGTCTTCATCATCTGGCTTAAAACTAATTTCATAATCTGGTGGTTTTGGTAGACTACGGCTTTGCGTCTTTGAGACCTTTGCGTCACCAGCTGTGTTGGTTGAGCGTTGATTGGAGTCTACTAATTGCCTAGATTGTGTTGCTTGTTTGTATGCAGCTTGACGTCTGTGTTCTTCCTTCTTCTCGACACCCAATAGCACACGGTTATTGTACATTTCTTGAGCCTCCTCTTCCTGTTTTTGTAACATTAAGTCCTTTAGTGTCACAAAGCCTTGTATATTGGGAAGTGCTTCCCATGCATTGCTCGAGTTTATTTTTGGTAAATTGTAGTCGAGAGTTCTAGAAGTTTGAAAGTCAAATTCTACCAAGTTGGGATTAGATGCATGTATGTAATTGTAGGGAATTTTCTTAATGCTCTTGCACGGACTTATTAGATTTTGTTGTGTGGTCGAATTTTCATCATTTTCTGGCGAAGGAGGTACATAATGAAATGCGGCAGTTGAAGCAGATGGCGTTGAGGGTGGTGTTGAAACCCTTAAGGGTATATCTGGAACAGGTGCTGGCGTAGATGGCGGTGCCAATCCCAATGTTGTGGAATCAGAATTGCTAACTATTGAGCTCCGACTGCTCGAGTGCATTAATCGTCGATTGCTATATTGCTGCGGTGTTGTTGGTAGTGGTTGTGGAGGAGATATAACTATTTCCGATGGAGCTACAATATTTGAACAACTCAGAGGTTTTGTTTGCGGGGAGTTGCGCTGGCTTTGTGTATCTTCAGAAATAGTTTTTTGTGCAGAATTGAATGGATGCAAGGAAGTATCATGATACCCTGGAGTATTTGCTCCAATTTGAATACCAAAACTGCCTCCTGGAACCTTACGATATGAGCGAAATTGTTCGGTAGGCACCGGAATATCGTTCGATTGCTTCTTATCGCTTGCATTGGAACTTTTGAAGGGCAACGATCCTTTTGTAAGTTTTCTTAATGATCCCAAATAGCGCCTGTCACTTTTTGTCGAAGTAGGCGTTGTTGAAGAAGCTTTGGAAACGCTTAATACTTGTTGAACCTCTCTAGAGCTTTGAGGAGAAGGAGTGCAAAGGTTTTTTGTTACTGTCGATTCATTTTCCTCACCAGAACTTTCGTTCTCGGAAAACAGTTCTTTCGTACTAATTTCGTTTAATGAAACCGAGTTTCCTGCTCCAGGAACACCCATACTCAGTGTTGATTGTCTTATGAATTCAACCCATTGATTAAGAGCGTCCAGTGATTCTGCGGCAAAATAGAATGTTTTTGCCGAGTGATACACCTTAAAAGCATGCGGCTTTGAATGCACTTCCTATTCAAGTAATAACCAAATTCGTTATCCACATAATAAAGCTAAATAATTGTACTTACCTTAGCCAGGGATACAGTAAATCCCGGTAAAAATATAACACAGCTAGCTTTCACTGCGTCTTTTGAACGAAACCCATAGAGAATCGTATCAAGCATCACGAAATATAAACGTGCCCAAAATGTAACGCCCCGTTTGTCTTTTGTCCGACGATATAAAAAGCCTTGAATATCGCCAGTACCAAGCATTTTTAGATTAACATTTCTCCTTTTACTGATAAGACTATGTTTCTTTTTTAAAGTTAATGATCGCGCTTTTGTAGGAGTATGCAGTTCTCCACTCACTTCGTTTGCAGCATCCTGTGGTGCGGACAATGATAATGTGCTTGTACTGGAAACAAACGACTTTGTATCTTCCTCAATGTTGTTAATCGGCGGTGTGTGTACGGGCAAACTAAAGTTTGATGCTTGTGCTGATGATGAAACATTTGCGTTATTTGAAGCTGCTGCAGCTGTAATTGCTGCAAGTAATCCAGGAGGTTTTGGTGGCGGTACTGGAACAGCAGCTGGATCGCCTTGTTTTCTTGGGCGGGGCGGTGGTACGGGTGGTGTTATCAATAGAAAATCTTTGCGAGGTTCTATTGCAGGAGGCGTGTCTGACTCTTCGCCAGAATTGTCGTAAGCAGGCGTACTGTGACTCTTATCTAGTCTGCCTCGTCTGACAACAATAGGCACATTAACTGTTTCGACTAGTGGTGCATTATTGCTTGATGTTAAAATGTTATCCTTATCTTCTGTGTTTTGGTCCTTCTTAGTCGATATATTTTGTATTGCCTGAGGATTATACTCCTCGTCCTCTTCATCGGCAAAAGGTATGGGCTCAAAAGTTTCGAGTATTGTATTTTGGACATTACACGTATATTTTTCATCAATTGGATAATCTTCGACTTTCATATTAGCATCGAAGCGAACAACTTTACAAACACCTGGTTTAGAAGTAGCTTCTTGTTCTTCATTTGGTTGTTCAACAACTTGACGTAACTTAATGGAGTCACTGAATTGCGTAACCCCAGATTTAACATCACTGGCGAATTTCGCATTACCACCACCACTAGTACCAATACCAATACAAGTGGTAGGACGTGGTGTGATTTCCAAACCAAACCCAAAGGATACGGACTTGTCGCGTAGACTTGGCGAAGAAGGATCACCACTAGATCCGGCCTTGGGGTCATGCCAGAGTGGAATTCCCACCACATTTTTATGTCCCAATAATTCATCGCCACAAATGGTGTTACGTCGTTGAAGCATTGTTCTTGGTTTTGGATAGTATAGTCTGCTTTCCTTTTCCACAACTTTTGCGTCTGTCGGAGTCAATATATCACTGCATATGGAGTCTGTGTCTCCGTCATCTGCTTTTTCATTGTCCGCATTTAACAAAAGTGGAAGTTTGAAAGTATTTTCCGGTACTGATAAGAAACCAGGCCTCGGGCTTGGTACGTTTTCTCCCCAACGGGATCCCACGTTTCTCTTTTTGCTTGGCAAACGATATGGCTGCATATAAATCTGTCCATAAATTTTTGTGTGCTTTGGACGCTTTTTCAATGTCAAGAGTACGTCTGGTAAAGATTCTCTTAACTGTAAGTGGACCGTTTTGTATTGCCATCCAACAATTGTTTGGTAATTAATTTGTACAATTTCATCGCCATCTTCAATTTTTCCCGAATTATGGGCTGGAGAGTTGTGCTTGATGTCAGTCACACGATGAATACCATGATAGCTTGTTTCAATATTAAATCCAAGTTCCGACTCTCGTTTCTTAAGTGTAACTAAATTCAAGGATGCAGGTTGCAACAGCATTGGGTCTGTAATATCTTGTATAATGTAATCAGCTAAGCGCTCTAACGTCACTGCAGTTGTGCGTATTTGTTCAACAGGATTTTCAACAAATCGTTCTCTTTGGGCGATTGTTGCCATTTCAAGACCTAGTCTCAACATTTTGCGACATATTTCAGTGAACTGGAACTGACCCTGAAAGGGTGATCGATCTAACCATCCAATTAATGGCTTTATTTTAGCTATCGTTCTCGTAATATCATTTAGAATCTGTGTTTCTATCATAGATGAACCACTTTTCAGAGCTAGTAATCTGTGTAAACTTCGAGCCGCTGTTGCAACATGTAAAGCCATAAATTGTAGGTTCTCTTTGTCCAAATTGTAGTGCTTCAAGAAGAATAATAAATCAGCATATAATAACGCACGCATTCGATTCCATATAATATATATATACTCACAAAATTTCTCAGATTTTCTACAGCTTCCAATACAATCTCCTGATGACCAATGGAATGCATGCCCAACTGTTCCAATTCATATGGTCTGATATTAAGCAATTGATGACCACCAACTCCATTATTAATGAACGAGTAAACATAATTGTACATGGAATCATCCAAACCTAAAAATATTTCAATGATTACCCACCCGATATGGGTTTGGTTTTTGTTTAATTTAATGTATGAATCACAACAATTCCTTGCAGCAGCAAAAAAAACGACAAACAAACCTTTTATCCAATCGGTTACTTGGTCCGGAGACCATTCAGCTACGTTGATATAAGCCATAGCTTGGAAATGGATTTATCCCATTAGAAATGTTCGAGTTTGCAGGAAAAACTTTAATTACTTGAAAAATATTTAGAAAAAGTTATTCTTTATCTGCTGCAGGGTGCACTCATAAGGTGAAGTCAATTCTACAAAAACAACAAATGTAGATACTTATGTCAAAAACTTACATGTTGCCACCGTGATTTTTTTAATATCGTACAGAAAAAAAATCCCAAATAATTTGTTAAAAATTATATATGGATTGAAAAAAACCACAAATTTAATTAAAATAAAATTGTAAATTATATCTATGTAATCAATTATAATAGCAAAAAAATAATTATTCATTAGACTACAAAAATTGTATTAGTAAAAAAATACATATTATTTTTTTATCCATCGGTAACTAATAAAACCTTGTTGATGTATAAGAAATATATAACGGTCTTTAGTCTATTTCGAGTGATTTTAAAAGACATGTGACCAAATCATTGCTATATAAAATCGTTAAAAAATTAAGTTATCTCTAATAAAATCGACTGTTAATGATTTTATATACAATTCTGTATATACTCTCAAATGATTTTAAATATATATATTTTCGGATTGTGGCAACTCTAAATGGTGCACTTTGACAGTTGTATCTACCTTAAATAAAGAACTGAGTGATCAGCTGTTGAATTGACTTTTCCTTATGATTGCGCCATGATCTGCGCCGACAAATAATAATGACGACGTTGGCTAACACTAAACATTTCGTCGACGGCCTATAATCGGCATTATGAAGGAATAATTTTCAAATGTGTTTTTAATTTTATTAACGGTTTTATGAATAGCCCATAATGAAGCAGAAAATGCAAAAAATGTTACACAAATTACATAATTCATAACTACAATTGGAGCTTTGCATAAACAAGAGATTAGTGGCATAGTAGTGAGAGATTCTGGGTACATACACACTTAAGTATATTAAATCCTGATTTTAGTGAACTACTCCACTAAACTTACAAACTGCACTTAATTACGTGAAAAGTACACTTCTGTAATCATGTTAATGTGAGCAAAATTTGAGAAATGATGTTATTCATTGAAGAGAAAAAAAGTATTTGCATTATTTTATTTTGACAATTTTTATTAAAAATAAATATTTTAGTATGTGTTCACCTGCACATTTTAAATCTATAATCAATATAATATGACTCTAGATATATGATTCCAAATTGAAAATTTTGTGGCTCAGCAATTAAAAAAACGAAATTCTTAAATAAATTTACTTTAATAAATCAAATTTGGTATAAATTTTTGGATTTCATAAAATTGAATAACTTAAAACTAATTAAAAACAGAATAATAATTCTTTCATAACACTTATTCTACTACATAGTATGTTTTACTATTTAAATATGATACATTCAATAACAATTTTGGTAAATAAGTACAAAAATGATTTTTAAATCGTTTAATGGCACCTAAAACTTAATATGCGAAAAATGAAAGTCAACTGAGTTTATTATTTTTTACAATTAAAAATAATACTCAGAGCATTAATACTTATAAGTAATGAAATGTATTTAAATGAATCAATAATTATTTATTCTTTAAATTCTCAAAGAATGCAATATTGTTTTTTAGAACTCCTTGGCGCACTGGAACTGGACTTATATTTGACGTATCTGCAGGAAGAGATGGATCATTTTTTGAAGATATTGCTGAAGACGTTAAGTCTGAAGAAGTAGCAATTTCAACACCAACGGAGGACGAATCACTGCAAGAAATTTAAATTTAAATTAAATAAATGATTTAAATTTTCGTTTTTTAATAATGTTTTTTAGATTTACGTTTCAAGCGATGATAAGTCGGAGGTTATGGTTAAATCATCTTCTGGTTTTAACTGTTCCGTTCTCATGATATGATCTAGTGATCTTTTAGGTGAACAAGAACGTTTCTTTCCTCCTTGTGATAACGTTCTAGCCTGAAATAATTTGTAAATAGATAAATAGTTAATCATTCGTAAATATTAAGGCATATGTATATTTATAGTAGAGGAGTACCTTACGAAGCCAAAGTTTTTCTGGTTGTGTAGTGTTCGTTGTCATTAGAAAAGCTCTTGCTAAAGCTTTAACCGATGGCAGTGCCTTCACAACATCTGCTTCAATTACCGGTTTATCCGAAGGACTGGACACAACTTGCTAATGTTTTATATTAATGATTAATAATTTTTTTCTATAAATTTAAAACATTCTTACCGATTCATCTTCTTCCACTGACAACACTTGACTAGGTTCCAGTAATTTGCGTTTTGGTTGTAAAAATTTGAATGCTTGTGGTGTAGCACCACGTGTTGGTGTTATAATATTTCCGCCACTTTCCGATCTACTAAAAGCCAAACCACAGGGTCTTTCTTTGGAATTAACATCATCAACTGTGGCTTGTTCTCTATCTGCTACCTTTATGGTTGTCTTCGTTTCCTGTTGCGTTTGGAAATCATATATTTTTATCGTATCAGAATCATCACTTGTTGTCGTTGTATTTGTTTCTATTTCGGCTGACAATAAAGGCATAGAGTCCGTGGAAGATGAATTATTTTCCACCACTTGAGCTGGTATGGCTTTATATAAATCAATTTCAGTTTCTGTTTCTTTAGATGATAGTGTTTTCTTTGCAGGCTATGAACGCCAAAAAATGTTATCAGTTTAATGTTCAATTTGTTTTTTTTTTTGGGCAAAAATATAAAGTTAAAACGATTTTATTAAATCAGAGTTATTATTGCGTAAAAAGCTAAATAAATTATAAGGTAAATGTGTCAAGAACTGTAAGATAAATTGGTCTGTTCTGTAAGCTTCCCATTGCCTTTATTCTATTGCAAATTAAGCTTAATTATGGTGTAAAATAACTGAAATGCTTAATAGATTTGTTTTCTATTTTAAACAAAATACTGCATTATTCATAACCTATTTTTTTTTAACTTTTTTAGTGATTAATATTTAATATGTATAGACAAATCGTAAAAACTTCAAAATTACAAAATGTTGCTGATAAAATTCAAAAATCAAGTTCCAAGCTGGAATTTAGAAATGTTATTAAGAATTAAATTACATTTCAAATTTGTATATGTATGTATACTTCAAAGAAGAAGTTAAGAACTTAAGTTAAAAGAGCTTCCAAATTTTAAAATGTTTTAAGAATCCTTAAAATTGTAATAATTATTGTTTTAGTAGAAATAAACATGTTTAAAAATTTCACATATTTCAAAGGTGATTTGTAAATACATTTAATGAAAAAGGTGTTATGTTTGGTGTTAGTTAAATAATGTAATAGAATTAGTTGAAAATTATAGTGATATTCTAAAACTACGAAACAAATGCTGTTAGTAAAATTTTAGCATATTTTTTTGTTAACTTTGAGACTATAATTGTAGAAAGTTTAATACAAACCATATTAATTTAAGAAAAAATTTTAAATTAGTAGCATTGATTTTAATTACATTTGCTTACACACATACATACATATCAGTCATGTATCCGTGTATTTACTTACCTTAAAATTTTACATATTTTCAATTCATTTGGGTGTGTGTGTTTTTACCGATTCTGTTTATACATATGTATAATGTTAAATAATTATGTAAAAATTTTACTAAAAACATTTGTTTCTTTGTGAAATTCAAACCTTTATTTCAAATTAACGATCAAATTAAAAGCAAAAACTAGAATAGTTATAATAATAATGAAGTGTTAAATAAAAATTTTAAAATATTAAAAACATGTTGGCGATATATTTACTTAATATTATAACGAAGAAATATGACTTTTTTTCTTTAAGTGTAAATTAAAGAAAGTTGATACAACTGCAACATGTTTCTAATATTTGTTCGTAAAAACAGAAAGAACTTAGTTCTCTTATTTAGAATTTGTTTTTCTTTTGTTTACGACTTATAAGAATCGTTAAGTTCAAGAGCATGGCACTAATTTTTAGCTACATTGGCAAATATTTTATGTATGTAATTATTGGATTGTAGTTACTTTTGGGTATTTAAATAAAAGTGTGCATTTGACTAGTAACTAAATAAATAGTATGTATAAGTATGTAAGTATATTTAGTAAGGATATCAATTATACTTAATTATATGTATCTATGTGCAACTAGTTTAATTAAATAAAATTGTATATTTTAAGAAATATGTACTCGTAATAACACACGTCGATTAATGTTATTGTTTGAAGTCGTTTACAATAGGCGTCTAATTGATACCCTTGCAAACATAAGGCTTTGTGATCATTTACTTTAAAGTACTTTCATCTTTGTTAGGATTTTAATTAAAGCTATATAATTCATGTTTAAAACAAAACATAATTCTATTGTTTATGGCAAATTTGAAATTGAATTGCATGAATTGAGATTTAGAAAGTGCTAAGATAGCCAGTATTTTATTTCCAATGACATTCAACTAAAATAGCAAGGTATTGTCATAGTGTTTCGATTCATTGGGGAAACAACTGTCAACACCGGAGTCCCCAGCAGGCTCTTCGTGCCGATTGGTTTGTTGAGAACTTTGCTGGGGTTTAACTATGGATAGCTTTAGAGCTTTGTCACCATTGAAAAATTGATCCTTTTCGTATAGGGGATTTAGTACGAAATCTTTGGTTGTTGCTGATACAGCCCTAAAACTGTTGCGCTTCAAATCTTTATGTAGCAATTGCTTTTCAAATTGAGTCAAAACATTAGCATCTTTGTAATTATTGCGTGACATATTACTAGATCTACTGCTATCAGCACTAAATAAACTTAACATACTAACGGTTCTACGTTTGGAATTAAGTGCAGAACTACTCTTCCATGAGCGCTGGGAATGTAAATCTAAATTATCATCTTCGTCCTCATTGTCGTCGTTACTGAGATTGTTAAAGTGGTTATAATAGGAGGTGGATGTTGAGGGTCTGGTCTGTAAAATGGATGATGTTTTATTATTATGCTGGTGATAAGTGGGAGCATGTTGATATGGAGGAGGTGGAGAATTAATATTCTTGTTCAAATATTTAAGGGAACTGCTACGACGCACTGGTGTTGATAGAGTCCAATGACAATCGTTAGGAAAATGTTTTGTGTTGGCGTTACGTGATTTATTCTGATATGAATTGATATTATTATTAATATTGTTGTAGTTGTTGTTTACCTCTCGGATATCCTTAGTTTCACGTGCAGAAACATCTCTTGCTGGTGATGTTTGCGGCGTTGTTAGACTGCCATTGATGTAGTAATCTCGACTATACCTTTAAAATTTTAAATAAAAATTTCATTACAGTTAAATTCAAATAATTAAAAATCATATGAAATAATACATTTCCGATCCAGTGAAATGATCGTATTATTACAGATTATGTCATTTGATATCGAACAAGAAAGCTAGTAAATTTTAGACTAATTCAAGACCGATCATGCGATCACATATGCAGCTATTAATCGTAAGTATGAATATTAAATACAGTGAATAAAATTTATAGTAAATAGTTACCTTTTATAATCACTTTCACGGGTCGTGTTTTCATCTTCATCTAGTTTCTGATTATTTAATAATTCCAAAGTATTAAGATCGTTTGTTGGACTTATATTTGGTAAATCGATGAAGCGTTCTTGGCTACCACTGATACGTCTTTTCAGAGCTTCGGGAGCATATGGATTATTTGGCATTTCGACAGCATTATACCATTTTTTGTATTCACGTTCTGCTATAGAACCTACAAAATATAGAAGCCATAAGAAAGGGGTTGACACTGGACACTGTTTAGATACATATTTTTATTTTCCAAAGCACTTTATTACAATGAAAAGCACTTTAAAAATCTAAATATATTTCGGAATTTGTAGAGATTTTTTATTTTGTCTTGTTTATTGATCCTGTTAATCAATTTACACTTAGACATTTTCATTTTGCATATGTATTACACATATAATATCAAAACTAGCCTTTTTCAATATAAATATAAGCTTGAATAAAATAAAATAAAAACACAATTTACAAACTAAATCGAACCACAATAAAATGGAATGTTGATATATATACATACATACATACATACATACATACATACATACAAACATATGTAAGTACAAACATAATTACAAATTCCAAAATTAAACATAAATTACACATAAAATACACCACACCGAGTTTATGAAAATGGCCATATAGTTTTGAAAATGAGTACCTGGTACAAAATGTCGCAAAATAGCCACATCATCATCTTCTTCTTCATCTCTATTGGCACCATCATCAACACCGACATGAATACCATTATGACCATTATCATCTGTTAGTATTTCTAGGTTTACTTGATCATTGTTAATGAATTGCTGAACACATTGTGAATTAGAGTTAGAAGTTTCTTTATTTTGAACTGCGCTTGTTAGTAGATCATATTGATGCTTCTGGTTAGTTGTAGTTCTTGTAGGATCATCACTTATGATAGTGATCGGTTGCTTATGATTGTTAGTCTTATTATTAGGATTATTAGTAGTATATGCCTTAGATCTAATTTCTGTGGATAAATTAGTAGGAGGAGTAGTAGTAATAATAGTAGTAGTTGGGTTAGTAGTAGAATTGTTGTTAAAATTAAAAGCTAAAATATCCTTTTCATCATTTTCATTATCAATATATTCCTCAATAGTGTTAGTTCGACTATCAGCAGATGGTTTGGAATCATGACTTAATTGATCTGAGAAGAGAATATTATTAATGAAATTATATGAAATCTTATCGAGATCGTTTATTTCGAAAATAAACGAATCACTACAGTCTTCATAATCACTGTCGTGATCATGAGAAAGTGTAAAGCTTTCACAAACTACTGGATTTTCTGTAACTAGTACCTCAGTATGGACTTTGTTAGCTTCCTCCATACTATCATCAGTGGAATTTGACAAATCAAGGGTACTTAAAAATCTATGCATGAGTAGGGTTCGACGTCGTCGGTTTTCAAGCGCATTCAAAAGATGTTTGTCATGGATGAATTTTTGGCATAAGCCAGCCAAAGTGCTCGGTGGCGTTGTCTGTGGCAATGATTGTGGACTTACATCTTCAAAACTCGGTGTTGTGTCTTCCACTCTACACTGTCGTTGAAGTTTCTTTGTTATATTGTGGTTACCTGGTGGTTGATTGGTGGCAGATACTATTGAATCTGCTGCTTTATTATTGACCTCCTCAACTTTATCTTCGTTTTCAATTTTTACAACGGTAGTTTGTCTAGATATTGTAGGGGAATCATCTAGTGAAACTGCAAGTTCCACTGGTTTATCACGTACATCTGGTACCAGTGTAGTACTTTTAGCTTCTGATGCTTCCGATAGGATTGGAGGCACAGGCGATTTGCCAACTTCTTCTAATATATCTTTGGTGTTTGAAATAATATTTGGCGCTATTTCAGCTGTTTGTTCACTTGAAAGTATTATAATTTGAGTTGACTCTATTTCGCCAGATTCTTCATTGGAATTTATCTCATCTGGTGTTTTTGAATGTTTATCTAATATATTTTCTACAGTTTCAGATTGCGCGTTAGACTTTTTATTTTCAGACAAGGTTTTATTAGAGATGCTTTCCACCTTATGTTCTTTTGAAACAATTTCATTCTGTTGCAGATGTACTTCAACTGGACTTTCCTTCACAATTGTTTCATCGAGTACAATTGAATATCCTTCCGCTAAATTGTCTTCAGTCATAGCGTAATTTTGGGAAAAAGTGTTCTTCTCAAAGTTGGGCTGTTCATTCTTAACAGTTTCAGTGAGTATAGTTGAATTCTCTACCGCTGAACTGTCGTCGGCCTTTGTTTCTGAATTTGGGGATAAAGCGTCATTTTGCGAATAAGTTTTTTCCTCAATTTTGGCCTGCTCGTTCCCGACAGATTCAGTGAGTGTAGTTGAATGCTCTTCCACTGAATTGATTTCACTTATTACTTCTGAGGTTTTACATAAAGCTTTATTTTTTGATGAAGATTCTTCCTCATTATTGGTCTGTTCATTCCCGATATTTTCATTGAGTGTAATTGAAATTTCTTCTACTGAATTATAATCAGTTTTTGCTTCTGAATTTGCAGATAAAAAATATTCTTGTTCAGTTTTGGGCTGTTCATTACCAAAAGTTCCAGTGACTATCAATGAATGCTCTTCGGCTGAATTATCTTCAGTTGTTGATTCTGAATGAGGACACAAAGCATCGTTGTTAGAAGAATTTTTCTTCTCAACAGTTTCAGTAACTATGAATGAATGTTTTCCAGCTGAATTGTCGTCAGTTTTTGATTCTGAAATTAGGGATAAAGCAGAGTTTTCTTCCATATATTGGTCATTATTCTGTAGCTGTATATCAGCTGAATCTTCTTCCGTAGAATTGTCTTCAGTTTTTGCCTCCGAATTCGGAGGCAATTTGTCATTATTTGCTGAAGATTTGTTCTCAATTGTGGGTACACACGATTCCAAACATTGTTTGGAGTTTGAAATAACTTCTAAAGGTATTTCAGATGACTCTTGTTTCAAAGTAACTTCATTCTGCCTAGTTTCACCTATTATATGTTTACATATTGATGTATCCTCATATGTTTTGGATTGCTTATTAGGTTCGAGGCAAGGACACAAAACTCTAGGAAAACATCCCAGTAAAACATTTTGATCGGAGTTTTCTTGTACTAATTCATCATCAGATTTGCACTGAGATTTACTTTCGAAACACGCACACAATGATTCATTGTGCGTAGAGTCTGAGTTGCCATGTATTTCAGATGATTGCTGTTTGAAAACAATTTGGTCTTTAGAACTATTATCGGTAAGAACTTGAGAATTTACATTTGATATATTATCTTCGACTTTTAATTGTACATTAGTTTCTAAACACACAGAAAGAACTTCAGTGGAAGTACATTCTAAATTATCTTCTCCAGGTATTTCAGATGATTGCTTTTCCACAACCGCTTTATTTTCTTCTATACATGTTTCAGATGAAAGCCCTTTTGGAATTATTTCATCGAGATTCCTTAAATTTTCATTTGATGCGTTATCTTCAATTTTGTTTTGCTGATAGGATTCTGAAGAAACTGATAATGTTTTAAATATTGTACAGTCTGAATTATTATCAAGCACTTTTTCAGACGATTCTTTTGTACAAACAATTTCTATTAAAACTATTTTATTTTGTTCTGCTGTTGCATCAGTTTCACATGAAATTACGAGTGTTGATTTATCGTTAGGGGATAAAGATTCACCATTTGTAGAGTCCGAATTTTTTTGTTGTGGTGTTTCTGATGATTGTTTTGTTATAATTACTTCAGGAATTCCCTCGTCAAATAATCTTAAATCTTTATTTGAAATGATATCCTCAGAATTTAAGCCTGATATTTCTTCCTGTTTTATTTCAGAGGATTTTTGTTTTGTCAAATGAATGTTTGTTTTTATCTGTAATTCCGAAGATATTGTTTCGTTTAGTGTTTTTTGTATATCTGAGTCACTGTCTTCTGTTTTTGATTTGAAATTTAATTCTAAAGTTATAGCTTTTTGAGGCTGTGGCATTTCCGCTGATGGTTCCGTCGAAATTGTTTCTTCAATTACTTCTAAATTTTCTGCTTTGTGTTTTAAATCTTCCTGGTTTTGCAATTGTAAAACAGACTGGTCTTTTGTTACTATTTCACTTTGTTTTAACTGCTCATTAGAAATTGTATCTCCGAATGCGTTCGAATGTGGGTATTCAACGGTGGATTCCATATTGGATTGAGAACATTCAACTTCATTTTTCAAATTGTTTATATTATCGTCCTGTAGTATTTCTAATGGTTTTTCTTTTGATACAATTTCATTTTGTTCCTCAAGTGGTAATTCAGAAATTTGTTCTGTCTGTTCATTATTTTCCATTTTGGATTCCATATTAGACTCTATTGGCATTTCAGAATATTCTTTTGTCGAACTGTGTGATATTTTGGTCGGCTTGCAAATTGTAACGTCGATTTCAGTTGAACTTTCATTTGAGATATTATCCACATTTTTGGATTCTGTATTGGACTCTACACAAGTAGACACATCTACATTGTCTAAATTATTTGCCAATCGTATATTTGATGAATGTTCTTCTGAATTTTTTTCGTTTTGCTCCGACTCTACACGTGTAGACACATCTACATTAACTATATTATTTTCCAATCGTATATTTGATGAATGTTCCTCCGAAATTATTTCGTTTTGATCCGACTTCGTTTCATTTGATATATTATCTTCAGTTTTGATTTGTACGTTGGATTCTGAAGAAACACTAAAATCGTTACTCTTCGTAGAATCTAAATTAATATCCACTGTTATTTCAGATGTTTGTTCTGCAGAATTTTTTTCATTTAACCCCGACTCTAAATCAGAATTAATTTTATCGAGCACTTCCGTTATAGATTCTGAACATGCAGATGGGGGTTCACTATTTGTAAGTTCAGAAATACAATGCATTTGTATATCAGATAAGTGTTCTACCGAAGACCTTTCATTTTGTTCGGCTTGCTCTTTACAAGTTTTTTCTTTGGGTTCTATTGAATACTCATCTATTTTACTATCTTCAATTTTGGATTGCAAATTTGATTCTGGAGAGGTATCTAAACTGATATCAATTTGTTTTTTAGTTGATTCTTCTGTTGAAAGTGTTTCATTTTTATCTATTAGTGTTTCAAAAATCTGTTCTTTTGGACTTGTTTTATCGCCAAGTTCTCTTAAATTCTCATGTGATATCAATTGATCGTCAGTCTTTAACTGCAAATTGTGTTCTGTAGATAATTGTTCTTCTACAACTGTTTTAATTTGTTCGATGTGTGTTTCAGAGGAATTTTCTTGAGAATTTTTTTCGGGGAGTATTTTCGAATTTTCGTCTGCAATATTATCTTCAGTTTTAGATTCGGATACAGTTTCAGTGTTCAGTAAATTTGAATTAGATTCAAGCGCTATATCAGAGGAATGTTCACTCAAAAATGTTACAGTATTTTCAGTTCGCGTTTCAGAAGTCACTTCTTGAGAAACTGTTGTAGATAATAATTCTTCTGAAACCTTTTCATTTTTGCCACGTGTTTTAGAAGATTGTTCATCGATTACTGCATTTGGTAAATTATCTTTAGATTTAGAATCCACTTTGGACTTGGATACAGCATCCATATTCGAAGATTCTGAAATAATGTTCAGTATATCAAATGATTTTTCTTCTATTGATTCTCTACACGGGATTGGAGATTCATTTGTTATAGAATCTAAGTTACTTTCCAGTACATTAGATTCAGCAGATAATTGATCTTCCGTAAATGTTTCATCGTGTTCGATCTTCGATTCATAGGATTGCTCTTGAGAAATCGTTTCGATTGGTACTTTTGAATTTTCATTTGCCTCAGAAAACTTCTCTTCAGAAATTGTTTCGTCAAGACATTTTAAATTTTCATTTGATGTTTTGGATTCAACTTTGAATTCTGTACACGCTGGAGCGGCTTCAATATTCAGTGAATCTGTGTTACTTTCTAATGGAATATCAGATGACTGTTCCCCTAAAAATATTGTACTTTTTAAAGTCTGTGTGTCAGTGGCCTGCTCTTTACAAATTATTTCGTCATAGGCTTTTAAATTTTCATTCGTTTCGTTATCTTCAGTTCTAGATTTTAAATTGGATTGAGTATATAATTGTTCTTCCGAAACCGAATTGTTTTGTTGTGTGTTTGTTTCAGAGTATTGTTGTTGAGAAATTGTATCGTCGAGTATATTTGAATTTTCGTCTGAAATATTATTTTCAGCTTTGTGTTCCACTATGGGTTCTGTACGCTCGAGTACTTCTTCCCTTTTTGTAGAATCTGAATTACTCTCCAATGCTATATCAGATGGTTTTTCCTCCAAAGATATTACATTTGGGCTAATATGTGTTTCAGGCGACTGCTCTGTTAAAATTATTTCGTTGAGTGGTTTTGAATTTTTATTAGATACATTATCATCAGATATAGATCCTGTATTGATTTCTGCAACTTCATTGTTTGTAGAATCTGAATTACTTTCCAGTGCATTATCAGTTGTTTGTACTTCAGAAGAAGAGATTGGAACTTCATTATTCGGTGAATCAACATGACTTTCCTGTAGGATATCACATAATCTATCCTCCGAAGATGTTGCGTTTTGTTCAGTTAGTGTTTTAGGGATCTGCTCTTCAGAAATATTTTCGTCGAGTACTTTAAAACTTTCATTTGATACGTTGTCTTCAGTCTTAGATTGTATATTGGATTCTGTAGATAATTGTTCTTTCAAAACTGTTTCAGTTTCTTTGGTCTGTGTTTCAGAGGAATGTTCCAGAGAAATTGTTTCGTCGAGTTCTTTTATATTTTCGTCATCAGTTTTAGATTGTATATTGTCTTTTTCGGGTAATTCTTCTTCTGCAACTGTTTCAATTCGTTCTTTTATTTCGGAGAATTGTTCTTGAGAAACCGTCTCGTCAAGAACATTCAAATTTTCATTTGATGCATTGTTTTCAGATTTCGAATCGACGATGAGTTCTGAACACGTGGGTACTACATCGGGTGATTTTTCCTCAATTTGTTCATTTTGTTTAGATTCTAGTTTGATTTCTGTAACCTGGGATGCAGCTTCCTTGTTCTTAGAATCTGAATTATTTTCCTGTGGAATATCAGTATTTGCACAAGCTTCAGAAAACAGCTCTTCAGAAATGATTTCTTTTGAATTTTCAATATTCGGTAAATCTGAATTACTTTTAAGTGGAATATCAGATGATTGTTCTTCTGAAGATATTGCAATTGGTTCTGTGTGTGTTTGGTGGTTTTGCTCTTCGGAAATTGCTTTGTCGAATGCTTTTAAATTTTCATTTGAAATGGCTTCTTCAGTTTTGTATTGTAAATTAGATTCAGTACATAAATGTTCTTCCGAAACTGATTCATTTTGTTCAGTCTGTGTGTCTGTTAATTGTTCTCGAGAAATTGTTTCATCAAGTATATTTGAGTTTTCGTTTGATATATTATTTACAATTTTGGTTTCAATTATGGTTTCTGTACAAGAGGGTACTGCTGAATTACTTTCCATGCCCACTGCAGATTTTTCCTCCGAACATAATATATTTTGTTCAGTCTGTATCTTAGGTGACTCTGTTAAAATGTTTAGTGCTTCTGAACTTTCATTTGTTATACTATCATAAGTGTTAAATTCCACTTTAATTTCTGTTACTTCATTTTCCATAGAATCTAAATTGCTTTCCAGTGGAATATTACTTATTGTATTTTTTATTGTCTGTGCGTCAGAATTTTCGTTCACTGATTTTTCCTCTGAAGATAAAGCAGTGGGTTCAGATTGTAGGCTCTGCTCCTTGGAAATAGGTTCGTCAAGTTCTTTTACATTTTCATTTGATAGGTCATTTTCAATTTTTGATTGTAAATCGGATTGCGTAGATAATTGTTCTTTTAAAACTGTTTCATTTGGTTCGGCCTGTGTTTCAGAAGATTGTTCTTCGTTGAGTACTTTTGAATCTTCGAATAATACATTAGTTTCAGTTTTGGCTTCCACTACTGATTCTATTTCAAAATTTTCATTTGATATGTTTTCAGTTTTCGATTCGATGATTTTTGAACACGTGGGCACTGCATCATTTTTTATACCATCTGAATTACATACCAGGGCTGTATCGGGAGATTTTTCCTCCATTTGTTCAGTCTGTGTTTCAAGGGGCTCTTTTGTTAAAATTATTGCATTGAACTGTTTAGACATTTCATTTGATATGTTATTATCAGTTTTAGATTCCACTTTTATTTCTGTAACCTGGGACGGAGCTTCATTGTTCGTAGAATCTGAATTATTTTCCATTGGAATATTAGTGGTTGTATTTGCAGAGTCTTCAGAATAACGTTCTTCAGAAATGATTTCTTCAAGGTATTTTGAATTTTCATTTGATGGAGTGAAGCTGGGTAAATCTGAAGTACTTTTAAGTGAGATATCAGATGATGGTTCCTCTGAAGATTTTACAGTGGTTTCAGTCAGTGTTTTATGGCTCTGCTCTTTGGAAATTGTTTCATTGAGTGCTTTTAAATTTTCATTTAAAACGATATCTTCAGTTTTGGATTGTAAATTGGATTCAGTACAAACATGTTCTTCCAAAACAGCTTCATTTCGTTCAGTCTGTGTGTCTGGTGATTGTTCTTCAGAAATTGTATCGTTCATTACTTTAAAATTTTCATTTGATATATTATGTTCAGTTCCGGATGCGATGTTTAAATCTGCACTTTTTGTAGAATTTAGATTATCCACTAGAGCTTCATCCTTTCCTTCAGCCAGTGGTACAGAGGACTGCTGTATCAAATTTATTTCGCTGGGAGGTTTTGAATTTTCATTTGAAATGCAATCATCAATATTTGATTCTACTTTGATTTCTCGGATCTCGGATGTAAATTCATTGTTTGCAGAATCAGAATTACTTTCCAGAGGAATACCAGTTGCTGTATTTTCCTTCGACTCAGAAGAATGTTCTTCAGAAATGTTTTCGTCATGTATTTCATTTGATATATCATCTGTGGTATTGGATTCAACTATAGATTCTGTAAATGCAGGTACAACTTTTATAATTGAAGATTGTTCTTCAGAAATGTTTTCGTCATGTATTTCACTTGATATATCATTTGTATTATAGGATTCAACTATGGATTCTGTACATGCAGATACAGCTTCAATAAATAAAGATTCCGAATTACTTTCCAGTGGTATTTCACACGATTGTTTCTCAAATGATGTTACATTTTCTTCAATCTGTATTTTAACTTCAGTTTTGGAAACTGCGGATTCGGTTCCATTGTTCGGAGAATCAGATTTATTATCTAATGCTAAATCGGATGATTTTTCCTCCGAGGATATAACATTTTGATTAGACTGTGTTTCAGTGGACTGCTCTATTAAAATTATTTCATCTGTTTTAGAATTTTCATTTGATACATCATCTTTAGTATTGGATTCGGCTTTGAATTCTGAATCACATTCGGGTGGTAAATCACACGACTGTTCTTCCGAAGATACTGTATTTTGTTCAATTTGTGTTTTAAAGGACTGATCTTTACAAGTTGTTTCGATGGGTGCTTCTGCATTTTCATTTGATATATTATCATTAGGTTTTGTGTTCACATCGGATTCCGTCGATAATTGTTGTTCCGAAACTATTTCGCTTTGTATTTCCGAGTGTTGTTCATGACAAACTATTTTGTCACATATATTTGAGTTTGTTTTAGATTGTAAATTGGATTCTGCAGATAATTGTTCTTTCAAAACTGTTTCATTTTGATCGATCTTTGTTTCAAAGTATTGTTCTTGAGAAATTGTTTCGTCGTCAAGAGCTTTTAAATTGTCGGATTGCACTTGACATTCAGTAAATAAATCTTTTTCTAAAACTTTTTCAATGTTTCCCGTTTTTGTTTCAGAGAATTGTTCTTGAGAAATTGTTTCATCGAGTACTTTTAAATTTTCATTTGATTTCGATTCGACGATGAGTTCTGGACACGTGAGTTCTGCTTCATTTTTTATTGAATCTGAATTACTTTCCAGAGCTATATCGGATGATTTTTCCACAATTTGTTCAGTTTGTCTTTCTAGGCACTGCTCTTTAGAAATTATTTCGTTAAGTGGTTTCGGAATTTCATTTGATATGTTATCATCAGTTTCTGATTCTACAGTAATTTCTGTAGAATCGGTTGGGGCTTTATTATCTGGAGGATTTAAATTAGTGTTCACTGGTATATCAGTTGTTTTATTTTCTTCAGCGTGTGATTCCGAAGAGTTCACTTCAGAAATTCTTTCATCAAATGCTTTTGAATTTACGTTTGCTATATTTTCCTCAGTATTGGAAACAGCTTCACTGTTTTGTGATTCTGCAATATTTGATGATTGTTCCTCGGCAAATGTTATGTCTTGCTCGGTCTGAGTTTCAAAGCACTGCTCTTTTGAAATTGTTTCGACGAGAACTTTTAAATTTTCATTTATAACATTATCATCAATTTTGGTTTTCAAATTAGATTCTGAACAATTATCTAGTTCTCCCGAAATTCTTTCATTTTGTTCAGTCTGTGTTTCAGAGGATCGTTCTTGAGATATTGTTTCGTTCGATACGTTAGAATTTTCGTTTGGAATGTTATTATCACTTTTAAACAGACTGTTTGATTCAGTAAACTCAGACTTATCTTCATCTTTCGGTGAATCAGAATTACTTTCCATTGGTATATTTGATGGTATTTTCTCCGAAGATATTAAATTTTGTTCAGTCTGCGTTTCAGAGAACTGTACCTTTAAAACTATCTCATTGAGACGGATTAAATTTTCATTTGATATAATATCGTTAGTCTCTAGTTCCACTGTGATTTCTGTAACATCGGATACGGTTTCAATGTTCACAGAATCTAAATTACTTTCAGTGGTTATCTTTTCTTGCGTCTGTGCCTCAGACTTCTCTTTAGAAACTATTTCATCAATTCCTTTTGAGTTTTTAATTAATATATCACATTCTGTATTGGATGCGACTTTAAATTCTGTAAACGCGGAAGGATCTTTACTGTTTGGTGAATCTAAACTACTATCTAGTGGCATATCTGACGAATGTTCTTCCGAACATGTTATATTTTGTTCGGTCTGAGTTTCGAAGCACTGCTCTTTACAAATTGTTTTGTCAAGTACTGTCGAATTTTTATTTGTTACACTATCATCAATTTCAGTGGTAAAATTGGATTCTGTAGATAATTGTTCTTGAGAATTTCTATAGTCAGATATTTCTGAATTTTCGTTTGGTATATTATCTTCAATGTTGAATTGAATTTTTAGTTCAGTACACTCAGATTTTTCAGATGATTTTTCCTCTGGAGATATTACATTCTGCTCATTCTGTGTTTCAGAAGACTGTTTATTTAAAGCTATCTCATTGAGTGGGGCTAAATTTTCATTTGATATATTATCATCAGCTTCTGATTTCACTTTGATTTCTACAACCTCGGATCCGGTTTCATGGTTCGTACGATCTGAATTACTTTCAGTTGTAATATTTTCTTCTGTCTGTGCCTCAGAAGACCCTTCCCTTGATATTGTTTCATGAAGTCCTTTTGACTTTTCAGTTATTATATCATCATTTGCTTCGCATTCGACTTTGAATTCTCTACACGCGGATGGATCTTCACTGGATGAATCTGAATTATTTTTAACTGCGATATCAGATGATTTTTCCTCCGAAGAAATTACGTTTTGTTCATTCTGTGTTTCAGAAGCTTCTATAACCTCGGATCCGGTTTCATTGTTCGAAGGATTGGAGGACTGCTTATTTAAGTCTATCTCCTTGAGTGGGTTTGCAGTTTCTTTTGATATATTATCATCAGTTTCTGATTCCACTTTGATATCTGTAACCTCGAATATGGTTTCATGGCTCGAAGAATCTAAGTTACGTTCAGTTGTTATCTCTACTTCCGTCTGTGCCTCAGACTTCTCTTCTTTTGAGTTTTCAATTAATATATCACATTCTGTATTGGATGTGACTGTATTCGGTGAACCTGGTTTGCTTTCCAGTGTTTCTTCTTCCGTCTGTGCCTCAGACTTCTCTATACAAATTGTTTCGTCAAGTAATTTTGAGTTTCCTATTAATATATCACATTCTGTATTGGATGTTACTTTTGTATTCGGTGAAACTGATTTACTTTCCAGTGTCATATCTGATGATTGTTCCTCCGAATATGATAAATTATCTTCAGTGTTGAACTGAATTTTTAATTCTGTGCACTCAGATTTAGCTGTACTGTTCGAAGAATCTATAATTTTTTTTTCTGCAATATCACTTGAATTTTCCTCCGAAGATATTATATTTTGGTCACTCAATGTTTCAAGGGACTGCTTATTTAAGTCTATCTCGTTGAGTGGTTTTGCAGTTTCTTTTGATATATTATCATTAGTTTCTAATTCCACTTTGATTTCTGTACCCTCGGATCCAGTTTCATTGTTCAGAGAATCTAAATTACTTTCAGTTGGTATCTTTTCTTCCGACTGTGTCAATGATATTTTTTCTCTAGAAATTGTTTCATTTTCTGTATTGGACTCGACTTTGAATTCTGTACAAGAGGATGAAGCTTCACTAATCGGTGAATCTGAATTAGTCTTCATTGGCTGTACTTTAGAAGTTGTTTCATCGAGCACTTTTAAAATTTCAGTTGATACGTTATCTTCAGATTTGGATTGTAAATTGGATGCTATAGATGATTGTTCCTCCAAAAACGTTTCATTACTTTCGTAATGTTCTTGAGAAATTGATTCGACGAGAACTTCTGAATTGGTTGATATATTATTTTCAGTTTTGGTTTCCACGCTGGATTCTGCACATGTAGATACAAATTCTGTATTAGAAAAATTTGATATACAATCTGGTGGGATATTTGAACCAATTAGTTCTTCCGTAGGTTTAACATTTTGTTCAGTTTGTGTTATAGCAGACAGTTCATTAGTAGCGGTATCGTCAAATGTTTTTAAACTTTCTGTACACGATGGTATAGTTTCACTTTTTGTAGAATCTGAGTTGTTACATTCAATTGGTATCCCGGACAATTGTTCTTCTAAAATTGTTTTATTTGGTTCAGTATGTGTTTCAAAGAATATCTGGAGTATTTTTGCATCATCTTTTGAAATATGACATTCAGCTGTGGATTCCTCTTTGATGTGTGTACTCTCGGCTGTAGTTTCGTCGTATGGAGAATCTAATTCTTGTTTATTAATTACTTCACTTTCTTGTGGCTTTTCAGCTGACTGTTCTTCGGAAGAGTTTACATTTTGTTCAGTCTGTGTTTCAGGGGTATTTTCTTCATTAAAATTAGTTTCGTCAAATACTTTTGAATTTTTATCCGATATATCATCAATCGTTTGGGATTGCGAAAAGGATTCTGTAGATAATGGTTCTTCAGAAGCACTTTGATAGGTATGTGGTTCAGAAGACTGCCCTATAGAAATATTTTCTGCAGGTGCTAAAATATTATCTTCATGTTTAGATTCGATTTTTAGTTGTATTTCAGATGATTGTACTTCTTCACTTAAACTTTCATTTGATTCTTGAATTTTAGAACTGCCATCGGAAGATTGTTCTTCCGGAGCTTTTTCATTATGTTCGGTGTGTATTGCTGCTTCATTGATTGATTCGTTTGATAGAGTTTCCTCTGTTTTGTTTTCAAAATTCGGTGTTGTTTTATCGAGTTCCTTGGAATATTCTTTCGGTGTATTGTCTTCAGTTTTGGACGGTTCATCTAAAGGAATTGGTGGGTTTGAATTATCTTCTGTGTTTTTAGAGTCTGAATCATCTTGCAGTTGCATTTCAGATGATTCTTGTTTCCTAATCACATCACCTTGTTGTGTTGGATCTTTATTGGATTGCAAACATTCACTTAGATTATCATTATTAGTGTGCATTTCAGCATTGGCATGGTCATTAGATTCTAAATCCGACGATAATATTTCGTGTTTGGGGGAATCAGAAATATCTTTGTCACATCTCTCCGACTGTGTTTCCGTCAACATTTGTTCATTTGTTCTTTCTTTATCAGATGAGAGGATTTCTTCAGTAGGCAATAGTTCTGTATCAGTATTTTCATCAATGTTTAAATGCGAATTACCGGAAATAAATTTTGTGCTCGTTAATGTTGCAAGATGCGAAATGATTTCGTTGGTTGATTTGCCGCTTGAGGATTCTTTAGTTTCAGGTGAATTTTGTTGATTTAGTTCAGAAATTGATGAGGATAATTCAGGTGAATTTACGATCGTTTCATTTTCACTGAGCTCAGTTTCATCTAAAGTTGTCATATTTTTAGAATCAATAACATTATCGGTTTGATTTATAACATCCACCGTTTCTTCTGGAATTACATCCAAATTACGAGGAGTTAATTCCAATGAGCGTGCTTTAATTTCTGCTAAGGCCAATTCCTTTAAATCAGTAAAAACATTAAAGTCTGAAACAGTTAATGTTGCTGGCTGATCAAGTGTCGGAACAGCCAGCATGGGACCTAAAGCCATAGCAGCTAAAATTTCAACAACTGAAGGTGTATCTGGGGTAGGTTCTATGATTTCTATGGCACTAAAACCAATACACCCATCAGATTCAGAAGTATCGTCGCTGGCTAAAAAATATAAACGATACAAGTCGAACACATTGTCATTCCCAATTCTCATGCATAGATTTATTAAGGAGGGTACTTTTTAAATATTTTACCTTTACAATGTTTAAAGTTATGGAGTTTTTCGCTAGCATAATCTTACATGAACAAATTTACAGCTAATGGATATACAAAATTTAAAGGAAATCTACATAAACAAATTTGTGTAAACTACAGCACTTACCCGCTAATGAGTTGCTGTTCTGGTCTTCGAGTACAACTGAACATAAGGCCCCTCTAAGGTTAGGACCATTTTGCTCCAGTGTAATGTCTTGTTGAGTTACATTATCATTTATGGCTTCAGTTTTTGTTGGAGCATCGATAACATGTTCGTTACATGCATCCAAAATATCCTGATTGCTTTGCAACGTATTGGATATCATACTGCTGCGTTCAATAAGTTCATCCAATACCATTTTATTGTTTTGGCCGCCTATTAAATGTTTGTTTGCCAGGCGATCATTGATCGGTTCTAATTTTGATCGCAAACTATCCAGTGAATCATCAGTATCCGATCCAAGTTCGGACAAATCACTAACTTCATCAGCAGTTTTATCACCTATTTGGGCACGTACATCTTCTTTCGGGTCCGGCACTAACATGCCAACACTATTTGTAGTAACAGAGCTACCTAAGCCCGATTTCTTCTTTTTAAACAACCAATTTGTCTCCCAAGTACCATCACCAATGGCACTAGACGTTACCGACATGTAATCTAAAATAAATAATAAAATAAGTATTTTTTATGTTAGTGTCAAGGGTTTATTCAGTTTTATATGTAATGCATGTAGAGACAATAATATGAGTTTTCTTACCTTCTTCTTCCGATTCTGTAGCTATTGCGTTTAAATCGGGTAAAGGTATTAAGTGAGAAGCCAAATAATCACTCATTACCGAGTCCCGATCAGAGTTTCGAATCAATTCTGAAGATTTGTCATCATTGGTCTAAATAAGAAACAGATTTATTGCATTTTTAATATAAATATATCAAGTTGAAATGTATTAACAACAAATTCTTACGTTGAGTAATTGTTCCGCTTCTGGATAACTGCAATCACTTCGAGGCTCTACAGAACTTCCAGATGTGGTCGATAATTTTTCAATGTTAAAGTTTTGATCTGATTCTGCAAGCCTAATATTATCATTCACATCTTCACCTTCTTCATCTCCGCCACCACCACCGGTATCAGTTTCAGTAATCTCATGATTATTATTTAATTGTTTATCCACAATCTGAAAAAAGTTGAAGAGAATAAGGTTTTAGAGTATGGATTCAACTTTTTAGAAATTACAAAACTTTATGTTACATTTTCATTCACTTCCATAATGATTTTTGGGTAAATCGTTTACTATTTTCATTAATAGCAAATTTTAATCCTTTGCTAATATTGAAAAAATAAAATATTTTTATCCAATTAGTTAAGTTGTATTTTAGTCTGTATAGAATTCAAATTGCACGTCTTCACACTTAAAAAGTTGAAAGGCAACTAAAAAATATATTCTTAGAAAATTCATTACAATTTAGGAACACTAGTCCGGAAGGAAACACCTCAAGTGCTCAATGAATATATTAACGAACGTTTTTCTTTTCGAATGATGATAACCAATTATGTAAAAAACAGAAGAAAAGAAATAACAACCGAACAACATTTAAATACGTCGACATTAGGCGCCAATATGCATATTTTTTATGTAAGTCGATTTTTTGCATGTTTTTCTATTCTTTTTTGTCATTGGTTTTATTGGAAACTACATCAAAAGGTAATAATGGCCATAACAACTGCCACAGCAACAACATCAAAAAATTGATTTATCCAAATCAACAAGTAGTTCTTCTTAAGGGTCATACCCTAAATGGCACCATAGGGTATGCGTTTGATAAATTACGACTTTTTGTGTAATTTTTATGCTTGTAAGAATTGATAAAGAAAGGCATAAAAAATTCAGAATTAAAGTACCTTTTAAGTACTTTTTTAATACCGTAAAATATCGCGGTACCCCCACGACATTTTCTTTATTTTTTCTAACTTATAAACATAATAGTTAATAGACCAGTCTGTAGTCTAGTCTATGGTCTAGTTTTTAGTCCAGACTATAGTCTAGTCATGTTTATAGCCTAATCTAAAGTATGGTAGAGTCTATAGTCTACTCAATAGTCTGTAGTCCAATCTATAATCTAGTCTATAATCTAGTCTATGGTCTAGTCTATAGTCTCGTCTATAACAGTCTATAGTCTAGTGTAGTTTATAGTCTAGCCTATAGTCTATTCTATAGTCTAATTTATAATCTAGTATATGTCTATAGTGTAGTCTATAGTCTAGTCTATAGTCTAGTCTATTGTCTAGTCTATAGTCTAGTTTATAGTCTAGTCTATATTCTAGTCTATAGTCTAGTCTATAGTCTAGTCTATAGTCTAGTCTATAGTCTAGTCTATAGTCTAGTCTATAGTCTAGTCTATAGTCTAGTCTAGTCTATAGTCTAGTCTATAGTCTAGTCTAGTCTAGTCTATAGTCTAGTCTAGTCTATAGTCTAGTCTATAGTCTAGTCTAGTCTAGTCTAGTCTAGTCTAGTCTAGTCTAGTCTATAGTCTAGTCTATAGTCTAGTCTATAGTCTAGTCTATAGTCTAGTCTATAGTCTAGTCTATAGTCTAGTCTATAGTCTAGTCTATAGTCTAGTCTATAGTCTAGTCTATAGTCTAGTCTATAGTCTAGTCTATAGTCTAGTCTATAGTCTAGTCTATAGTCTAGTCTATAGTCTAGTCTATAGTCTAGTCTATAGTCTAGTCTATAGTCTAGTCTATAGTCTAGTCTATAGTCTAGTCTATAGTCTAGTCTATAGTCTAGTCTATAGTCTAGTCTATAGTCTAGTCTATAGTCTAGTCTATAGTCTAGTCTATAGTCTAGTCTATAGTCTAGTCTATAGTCTAGTCTATAGTCTAGTCTATAGTCTAGTCTATAGTCTAGTCTATAGTCTAGTCTAGTAGTCTAGTCTATAGTCTAGTCTATAGTCTAGTCTATAGTCTAGTCTATAGTCTAGTCTATAGTAGTCTATAGTCTAGTCTATAGTCTAGTCTATAGTCTAGTCTATAGTCTAGTCTATAGTCTAGTCTATAGTCTAGTCTAGTCTATAGTCTAGTCTATAGTCTAGTCTATAGTCTAGTCTATAGTCTAGTCTATAGTCTAGTCTATAGTCTAGTCTATAGTCTAGTCTATAGTCTAGTCTATAGTCTAGTCTATAGTCTAGTCTATAGTCTAGTCTATAGTCTAGTCTATAGTCTTGTCTATAGTCTTGTCTATAGTCTTGTCTATAGTCTAGTCTATAGTCTAGTCTATAGTCTAGTCTATAGTCTAGTCTATAGTCTAGTCTAGTCTATAGTCTAGTCTATAGTCTAGTCTATAGTCTAGTCTATAGTCTTGACTTTAGTCTAGTCTATAGTCTAGTCTATAGTCTAGTCTAAAGTCTAGTTTTTAGTCTAGTCTATAGTCTAGTCTACAGTCTGGTGTATAGTCAAGTCTATATTCTAGTCTATCGTCTAGTCTAGTCTATAGTCTATATAGTTTAGTTTAGCGGAAAATAATATGGATTAAAATGTTATATTACGATTTTTACCTTATTCAAGACAGCCGTTGCTAGTAGATCTTGATATATTGTCGGTTCAAAATAATGCTCTGTACGATGTCTTGGATAACAACCGTTGGCCAATGGTCTATTATCGCTCGCTTTGCTGCGTCTATCGAGTGCAATTTCCGATACAGCATGACTTTTTGATAACGGTGGTAAACTAATTGTTTCCGCAATAATTTTTTGTATCATCTGACGCAAACGCGTCTCAGAAATGTCTGTGAAATCATTATTGCTTGCTCTGATACGTACTGATTCTCCAGATATTCCATTGTGACTGAGGTCATTTTTGGGATCAGGTAAATCTGAAAACAAAAAATTAAATCTTTATCAAATGAATATTAACGCATATAATGGCAAAAAACATGCTAAACAATTAAAAAAAAAATCTCATGCCATTTTTGTTACTACAGATTCAATGCACATTATTATTGAAAATTATTTATAAATCTAAGTACAATTTAGAAAACGTTCTTATAAGTAGATGGATGCATGAATGGTTTGCTGGATGAATGAATGATTCGTTTAATGTGAATGTATGCAAACATGTATGGATGTATGTATGTGTAAGTAATAGATACTTTACCTAAATTTATTTTTAATACATGCACTACAAATATTGCTAAGGTTGCTACAAATGCGAAAATGCCTGTTAGCAGTCCAAACCAAAAGTCCATTTTTTATTTTAAACACTTCACTTAAATGAACGTTGACGCTTGCGTTTTATAGACAAAGTTAAAATTAGTTTTTTTGTTTTGTTTTTGTTTTTGCTTACAGCTAAAATTATTATTTTTGGAAAATACACGTGTATTGTTGCACTGTTTCTATTTATCTATGTTTTTTGTATTTTTTGCACTTTATAATTGATTTTTTCGTTTTATTTTTATCAGTTTTCTTCATTTGGTTTTTTGCTCTTTTTTAGTAGTATTTGTTCAACATTGTTTTCATTTATTAAATTATTTTCTTCTGACGCATCTATAAGTATCACGTATCGATTTAAATTTGTGTAATTATTTGTGGCAGAAAAAAATATGAAAATACAAATTGCGATAACGTAAGAGGTTTATAGGTTTGTTAAAACTAATAGAATTTTCGAAAGCAATTCAGCGGAAATAAATTTGAATATTTATAGTTTTCATTAGTATCCCTTAAACAATAAATCGAAGATTCTCAAATTATGGTTCGTGGATACCTTGAGGTTTTTAGCAATATTGTGGGTCTGCGAAAAGCTCAGAGGAAAATTATAAATATTTGTTTAAAACTAAATTTCTTAATAAAACCTTATAAATCAGAAATTAGTTGAATGTGCGCCCAAAGTTTTTAAAATTTCGTCATTAACGTTTTTTATTTTGTAGAATTACGTAAGAGTTCCTCATTGCTTGGTCCTTTTGCTACTTCTGTTTAACTTCTTCCTCTTTTAACTGCAAATACTACTACTAAATGAGTACTTCCAAGAGAATTACATCTATCACCATTTCAAAATTAGACGGACATCTCTCCTATGACAACCCTGTCATGTCTTTGGAAGTTTTTTTTATTGGATAAAGACATGACAGTTCTTTAAATTTATAATATACTGGAATAAGTTTCTTTAATGTATTTACTTAGTAGATAAGTTGCACTGGAGAAAATGTTTTGAAATTTGCACCGATATAAAATTAATAGTTCTATAACCTTTGTATTATATTTATTATACAAAATACACATTAAATTATTTAATACTTAGTAAATGAATTTTTAATGGTGCAGTTTTAATGATCATCTCATCTGGTTGTGATTTCATTAGCCACTGTATAATTTCACTGAAAAAATGACCTTGACATTAGATATTTGCTAGAGTCTTCATAATACGTTTAGTCGTGTGTAAACATGTATGAGTGTATGAATAAGAAATCATAAATAAATATATACTTTGGTGTTAAGTTAACCGGAATTGTCGAAATTTAAGTAATCAATAATGCTATAGTTTTATTTTATTTAAAAGTATTATATTTACTCTGTTATCCTATCGAATCCTTTCATTGTGGTTAACATGTGTACATTTTGACTTCCCCTAACGTATAATAATCTCATTTACTTAATTGTTGTAAATTGCCAATATTCATTTAAACTTACAGGTCAAATGGAATTTTATTTAATTAGTGTATAATTTAGTTTGAAAAAAAAAAAAATTAACAATCAACAGCAAATAAAAATCTTCCAAACGTCATAAATATGTATATAATATGTAACATTTAAGTGTAGGACTCAGGGTATAAATAATATATTTTTAGACGTTTTGTTTTTGTTTACACATGATTAGTAATGATTTTTTTCAGCTAACTCATTCAATTATTTCAGTATGTAACCTACGGTCCAACACAATTACAACGAGCAAAATATTTATATGATAAATTTGCTACAAATATTAATTTTTTATAAAAACAAAATGAATTCGTTATAACCGTGTTGCCTGTTATACGAAAACCAGTTTTAATAAATGTTAATCTTTTAATTAAATACTAAGTTACATTACGTTAAGTACATGACGACTGAGCAATGTTATCAATGTATGATAATTTGTTGTTATTAAATTTTGAAATATTTTCTCTTCAAAGACATTTCGCAAAATAAATATTGTCTTTAAGTTTGTGGTCAAAAAGTCAAAGTCAATTTATAATCGCAAAGACTTGCAACAAAATGGCATCGATTTGTTATTGCATTGTTTTATACCCACCATCCAAGAGATGGGGAATATTGATTTTGTCATTACATTTGTAAAACATCGTAATATTCTAGAAGACTATAAACGTCTGTCTGTTGATAACATGTTATGTACTAAAGGCAGAGAATTTTGGAAGAATATTTCCCATATTATCGGTTTAATGAAAGTAAAATTTCTCTCGAAATGGACTTTTAATATAGTAGGTTGTAATTATTTTTGGCAGATATGTGTTTTTGGATTAGGTATTTAGAGACCGGTAGCAATCTTTTTTATGAAGTACTGCTTTATAGTACTTCATTTCATAAGTATATAACTAAACTAGTAAACCGATTTTGTTAATCCGGGTCTTAAATTAATGGTTATGTATTGCGGTTTGACAATTCTTTGGAAAAAAACAAGTAGGAAATTATATTAGTTATGGGCCGATCCTTATAAATTGTGGATTTACATTTGGAGTTTTGAAGCTTAAGTCATTTTCTTTGGAGACTAGGGTCAGTATTATTTAGGTTTATATAAAACTTAATTGTCATAAAAGTTTAGTCGGCCGGTTTGGTTGTATATCGGTAGGTAAAATAAATGTGCTTCCTCCTTGGGCAATATATAACATTTTATCCAAATTTCAGCAACATAACTTGAAAAGGCGAAATGAACCTTGAACACAGCAAGAAGGACGGACATGGTTTAATCGTCATAGAAAGTGAGTCGATTGGTATACTTTAAGGTGGGTATAGGACAGATGTTTTCCCACTATAGTGCAGAATTCTTTATAACAAAGCCTTCATCCAAGCATTCATTAAGCATTTTTATTAAAAATAATTGTAAACAAACATTTTCTTTTAATTTAAAAAAAAATATTCCCTTTTTTAACAAATTCTTCCACTGTGCGTCATTATTAGGTTTTGCGACAATCGCGGTGTGCACAACAATCAGACGAGACCATTCTTTTTCAAGCAGTTTGTTCTAGATATTTGTATTGTTTCGATGTTTTATAACTACAGTGTCGCGAAAAAGTTTATAATTTGTTAGAAATTGCATTTTTATTAGGGAAAATAAAAATTTTATTTAAAATTAGGGTTGTATAAAAATGTGTATTTTAAATATTTCAAAAAATCAATATTTGAAATAAACAAATTTTAATTTGTGTTGACACTGACCTATGTCTATAAGAAAATATTGATCCTAAAAGAACAATGACACCAATACATACATATGTATGCATATTTAACTATTGATACATTTATCCAACATTTGATTTTCTTTAACCGTTTTATTTAATTTTATTTAAATTTGATTTGCATTTTTTCGACATTTCATGGTGAGTTTAAAAAGAGTTTTGAACAACACTGCACATTTGTATTTCTTTTTTATATATAAGTATATTTTAAACTTTTTAGTATTATTGTTGTTGTTGTGAATATTTAATTCATTCATATACATACATAAACATAATAGATATTACGGAAGTCCACATAAAAAAATATCGTTATATTTTGAATATGATGATGATGATTCTTTGGTTTAGTGATTTGTTTATTATTAATGTTGGAATTTTGGCCATTATTATTATCTGGTATTTGCTTTATTGTTATTGTTGTTATTTTGTTTCTTTTAACATTTTGACAATGAGACAACGGTGATAACAGCAGCATTCACGCCAAAAGACAATGCCAAACAAACGCAAACGGAGGTGATTTTATTATTTCACGTTTCTTTCTCTTTTTTTCTACTTTTTTTGAACATTTATCGTTTTAACATTTAATTCTACTTATTTTCATTTTAATTTTTATTATTAAACAAAATTTCTCTTTCTTTTTTATTATTAACGTAATCTTGAATTGTTGTTTTATTTCATTTATTTCATAGACTAAATTTTAAGCAATAAATGTTATGTACAAGAAGAAACAACTATTTTATTATAATTTATTATTTTTGTTTTTAAATTATTAACTAAATAAGGCCTACTAAAGTAATATCAGTTAGTTAGTAATATTTTGCTATTTTCACGTTGGCGCGCGTTTAGCAACTGAACATGTTGCTTATTTTGTATGATTTTTTTTTATTTTTTTAATATTTTTAATATTGATACCGTCTCTGTGACCCTCCGACCACCTCACATACTCACACTTGTTGAGTTGTGTGAGAGAGTGTTTGTGTTAAAGTTTGTTAGAAAATAAAAAAAAGTACAATTATTAATATTGTTTTATATTTATTTATAATCAGTTATTAGACATTGGTAGTAAATATATGAGTACGTATCAGATATTTGTTTTTATATTTCGTACATTTATATGAATGTATATTCGAAAATACATATACGTACGTTTTTATGTATTAAATAATTAAGAACAAATGTTTTTTTATATTTATTTAATTTAGTCATTCGTTAAATTAAAAGACATTGAGTATGTTCTTTATCAATTTGCAAAGATACGGTGTTGAAAAGGTTCATCTAATGTCATATTTAGTCAAATCATATCACTTAAAACAGTGTTACCATTGTCAATTTCCCATTTTTTATTCAAAAATTTAAATGAACTTTATGAAATAGTTATTTAACATCACAAACAATCATGACCTTTTTGGGAGCCTTGTGTCAATTACTGATCATGGTGATTTTCGGAAAAAGGCCTCTTATGAAGACTTGGGTCAATTATAGACAGAATTCTTTAGATTTCGAGAGACTGATTGACTTTTTAAACGATTTATTGACATTAAAATGATTTAATATAAGAGGGTTTATTTGAAGGGTCAATTGTGGACCAATCCTTGTGAAATTTGACGGTTAAAGTAAAGTCTATAGACTGATCTATAGTCTAGTCTAAAGGCTAGTCTATAGTCTAGTGTAAAGTCTAGTCTATAGCCTAGTCAATAGTCTAGTCTATAATCTAGTCTATAGTCTAGTCTATAGTCTAGTCTATAGTCTAGTCTATAGTCTAGTCTATAGTCTAGTCTAGTCTAGTCTATAGTCTAGTCTATAGTCTAGTCTATAGTCTAGTCTATAGTCTAGTCTATAGTCTAGTCTATAGTCTAGTCTATAGTCTAGTCTATAGTCTAGTCTATAGTTCTATAGTCTAGTCTATAGTCTAGTCTATAGTCTAGTCTATAGTCTAGTCTATAGTCTAGTCTATAGTCTAGTCTATAGTCTAGTCTATAGTCTAGTCTATAGTCTAGTCTATAGTCTAGTCTATAGTCTAGTCTATAGTCTAGTCTATAGTCTAGTCTATAGTCTAGTCTATAGTCTAGTCTATAGTCTAGTCTATAGTCTAGTCTATAGTCTAGTCTATAGTCTAGTCTATAGTCTAGTCTAGTCTAGTCTATAGTCTAGTCTATAGTCTAGTCTATAGTCTAGTCTATAGTCTAGTCTATAGTCTAGTCTATAGTCTAGTCTATAGTCTAGTCTATAGTCTAGTCTATAGTCTAGTCTATAGTCTAGTCTATAGTCTAGTCTATAGTCTAGTCTATAGTCTAGTCTATAGTCTAGTCTATAGTCTAGTCTATAGTCTAGTCTATAGTCTAGTCTATAGTCTAGTCTATAGTCTAGTCTATAGTCTAGTCTATAGTCTAGTCTATAGTCTAGTCTATAGTCTAGTCTATAGTCTAGTCTATAGTCTAGTCTATAGTCTAGTCTATAGTCTAGTCTATAGTCTAGTCTATAGTCTAGTCTATAGTCTAGTCTATAGTCTAGTCTATAGTCTAGTCTATAGTCTAGTCTATAGTCTAGTTTATAGTCTAGTCTATAGTCTAGTCTATAGTCTAGTCTATAGTCTAGTCTATAGTCTAGTCTATAGTCTAGTCTATAGTCTAGTCTATAGTCTAGTCTATAGTCTAGTCTATAGTCTAGTCTATAGTCTAGTCTATAGTCTAGTCTATAGTCTAGTCTATAGTCTAGTCTAGTCTATAGTCTAGTCTATAGTCTAGTCTATAGTCTAGTCTATAGTCTAGTCTATAGTCTAGTCTAGTCTATAGTCTAGTCTATAGTCTAGTCTATAGTTTAGTCTATAGTCTAGTCTATAGTCTAATAGTCTAGTCTAGTCTATAGTCTAGTCTATAGTCTATAGTCTAGTCTATAGTCTAGTCTATAGTCTAGTTTAGTCTATAGTCTAGTCTAGTCTATAGTCTAGTCAATAGTATAGTCTATAGTCTAGTCTATAGTCTAGTCTATAGTCTAGTCTATAGTCTAGTCTATAGTCTAGTCTATAGTCTAGTCTATAGTATAGTTTATAGTCTAGTCTATAGTCTAGTCTATAGTCTAGTCTATAGTCTAGTCTATAGTCTAGTCTATAGTCTAGTCTATAGTCTAGTCTATAGTCTAGTCTAGTCTATAGTCTAGTCAATAGTCTAGTCTATAGTCTAGTCTATAGTCTAGTCTATAGTCTAGTCTAGTCTAGTATAGTCTAGTCTATAGTCTAGTCTATAGTCTAGTCTATAGTCTAGTCTATAGTCTAGTCTATAGTCTAGTCTATAGTCTAGTTTATAGTCTAGTCTATAGTCTAGTCTATAGTCTAGTCTATAGTCTAGTCTAGTCTATAGTCTAGTCTATAGTCTAGTCTATAGTCTAGTTTATAGTCTAGTCTATAGTCTAGTTTATAGTCTAGTCTATAGTCTAGTCTATAGTCTAGTCTATAGTCTAGTCTATAGTCTAGTCTATAGTTTAGTCTATAGTCTAGTCTATAGTTTAGTCTATAGTCTAGTCTATAGTCTAGTCTAGTATAGTCTAGAATCTATAGTCTAGTGGGAAATGTTTAGTACTAAAATTTTTTAAAAAGTATTTTTTTGTTGTAAGTAAGTACTATTTCCTTTAAACATTTCAATTTTCCATGGCTGTTCTACGACCAATATTTCAATATGTTACAAAGAGATCGACAAAATCAATAACCTCCCATCTATTTCGATAGTGGGTATAAAAATATCATGATTATTTTTCATTTTTCTCTTACAAAAAATATTTTATTTGTTTATCTCTACAATTTATTTTTCTACAAATAGGTGCTGATTTTTTTTATTAAATTATTTCTGATTAATTAATTTATTTACGGAAAATACTTAAAAATTTTAGCAAAATGTTTAACATTTAACGCGTTAAAAACGTTTATTAACCAAACATGCAATTCTTTAAAATTTATTAAACAAAAGTTAGGATGGCAAGCGTTATTTGAATTAATGAACATTTCTTATTTTTATACTAAATACTGGGTATTTAGCGTTAATACTTATAACTGACGATTTATACACATACAACAATAACTAGATACATCATTTTGTTTGATTAAAATTTAAAGAAAAAAAAAAAAACTCACCGCCATGATTGTGTGTGTAAAATGTTAAAACATTTTCCAGATTTATTAAAATATTACTCAATTTTGAGTGATACTTGTGAAACAAGTTAAGATCTATTAACAAAATAAACAATTAAGAAGTGACAAAAATAGAAACTGATTCATTCATACTGATATAGAGGTTTTTTTTGGGGGGATTTTAAAACAACCCAAAAAGTATGTTAAACAAATCAAAAAGTTGAAGTAACAAAAAAAAGAAAACTTAAAAATAAATGCAAATAAAAAAGCTTAAAACATAAATGTGGAGGTATAAATTCGCTTTGTAGTAGTAGAAAAGCTTTATAATAAATTATTGTGTAAATAGTAAATAAAAATTAAAAAATAATAATTTAAAAATGTTTACTAAAGGTTGTTCATTCATAATTCAATTTTCCAGTTTAAAAATAAAATTTTAAAGTTTTGTTATTTATTCAGAAGATATTTAACGATTAATCGAATAAAACTCGTAATCGCTTAACAAACTGTTTTATATAAAAATTAATTAAATTCTACGCTCGTATTTGGAACTTTTATAACAGAAGTGTTTTTAATAAAAAATCTGTTTTATGATTAATTTATCGTTGTTATAATATTCAGAATAAACTGAACTTTTTATATAAAAATATATTATTGTATGAAGAATGATAAACAAAAGATTACGCCTGGTGCATGATTTACCGTTTGATGACGTAGCTGTTCCCTTTTAAAGTTTTCCAAATTTGTTTCATGTGTAAAAATTACAGTTTCTTAAAAAAATCTAAAGTATGTATCTATATTATAATAGTGGACACCATGCAATTTGTAATTTACTTTGAAAGTTTAGAAAAAATATTATATCGATTCTTGAAAAATGTAACGAATTTCTCCTTAATTGTGAAAGAAAAAATTTACATTGTGTCTTTTTTATATACATACATATTTTTTTTTTATTTTTTTAGTATTTGAAAATAAATATTTTTTATAAAATAATAAATATGTATGTAAATAAATTGATGAAGAGAAATTTACAAAATTTATTCAATTACACAGGCCAACAAAACCTGAAAAAATACCATATACCAAAGTATACATTTCTAAATGATTATTGCGAAGCTGTATTCAGAATTTCTCCATCACCTTTTTCAAGCATTTTCAGAGGGGGACTTTGCTCATTACGATATTTTGCTGTATCATTTATGCTTGTATAAAACGTTGTGCATATTTTTGTAGGAATATTAGTATATTTGGCATAATTATGAGCTCCAAGTCCCAATTTAGTGAGTCCGGTTATATGGGGGCTAGGTGAAATAATGGACCGATATCAACCAAAATCAATTGGGTCTTGGATCAAAAGTAATGTGGGTACCACATTTTATCCACTTACCTTCAAAATTGCGACCTGTAGTTTGATTACAAGGTTTACATAGATAGACAAACGGACGGACATGGCTTAATCGACTCAAACATCAATCCAATATACCCTCCCCACTAAAGTGGTGTAGGGTATAAAAACAGTTTCGATAACATAAATAAAGGTGTCTGCAGATGTTTTGTTTCAAATATGGCCAAAAATGGGTCATTTTCAATTTTAAGGACACGATATCTCCAAAGCATGATGTAAATAGTTTCATATTTTCGTTAATCTATGAAATGTTTTTACGTAGATTTCTATAAAAATCTTTAATATATCTTCTAGATATTTAAATTCGATTTTAAAATAATAATAATTATTCTAAAACTCAATTTTTCCATAAACATGAATACAAACAACTGGAAAATTGTATTATTCTAATGACAACCGCCTAGTTTTATAAATTGGGATTATAAATGTTACTAAGTACTTACAATTTTCACTTTTTGACAATTGATTGACAGCGATCGTATCCAAATTACCTCCCAATAATTTGGCGACAACTTCTTCGACATATTCTCGTATTTTGAGTTTTTGCTCAGCTGTTATCGTAGCAGAATTAGCACCAATTTGACTAACACTTTCAAAATCTATAGGTGGTAAATAAGAACATAATATTAGTCATTAACAAACAAACAAAAATGGAAAAGAATATTGTTAATTTGTTTTTAATTATTAATAATACCTCAGCAATAACTTTTAGGTTTTTTTTTGGTTATGACTTATTATAATTAAAAAAATACACATTATTAACTATATATTGATAAACTAAAGATCGTAATTTTTTACTTTTACTTAAATTTTTATATAGATTTCTAGAGATTGCTAAATAAATTTTAAACAAATAGTTTTTCGAAAGTTTAACATATGTTGTACAGATTTGTAGAATTTTTTGTATTTTATTAAGTTTTTAATCTATACTGATGAACTACATAAGTGTTTGCTGGGTATTCCTTATTTTTTTTTCCAATTTCTATGTATTTTAACTTACGTATAGAACTGTCATTACATTCACTTATGGGAATGTAAATTTCACTTCTGGCTCTTGGCGGATGTATTAATTTCTCTTGATGAAATGATATCTGATCAGCCACCCATGATGAAGTTTGAGCCAGAGATTCTTTGGATGTTTGACACAGCTCGCATTCCCATTCAGCAGTTTTTGGCAGCCAATCTGCACATTTAATACTGCGACAAATATATTTTTGACAGATATAGCATTTTACAAATCTGGAGAAAAAAAGAATACATTTGTGATAAGAATATATGACAGAATTAATATTAAGACTTACGTTTTATCATCTTCTGGATCAATTTCTGCACAGCAGACATTGCAAAAGAATTCATTTTCATTGGATTGCTTCTTTTTTCTATTGGTGATTTTGCTGAAAATAAAGACCAAAATAAAAATGTTAAAATTTAAGTGAAAATTAAAGTAAAATTTAGTTAAGAAAATTTCTAAAAATTTGATTAAACTATTCATTAAATCAATTAACTGTTGACTCAAAAACTTTCATTAGTGATAATCTACTGCTAAGTTTATATAATTGTAGTTAATAATAACAATTATTAAAAACCAGTCTGTTTTTTTTTTTTGAAAACAATTAATGGTTTTTAATTGAATACCCATTAAGCTATGCAAGGAATTAAATAACAACTACTTAAATACCAGTACTCGAACCGGTGCTAAAGTAATTTATCGTCGAAATGACGCCAAATATTGCTGAAGAATTCTTTCTGAAACAAATGGGAATAATAACAAGAAATGGCCTTTCGCCTTTTTTTTCATTATTATTATTATTATTATTATTATTAGACTATCAATTGTTTGTTAAGAAGCTAAACCACTTATCACGATCATGCAATGTTTAAACATAATAAAATTTTTATAAACAAACAAACAAATAGTTAAATCTGGTTATTAATTAAATTGAAAAATTCATAATTAACACACAAATTTAATTACACAGTGCTACAACTCCATTATTTATCCATTAATAGTGTTTCTTCAAAATTTTGAGAAATTAATATCTGTTAAAAATAGTTGCGTTATGAAGTCATCCAGAGAAAAGTTTTAAAAAACAAATTAATAAAATGCTTAATCATCTCAGCTATCTCTCAATAAAATATGATGTAGCACAGTGACATTTGTCATAATCAATAACACAGGCTAACAAATTTTTAACCCAGAAATTGCTTAATCCGAATCAGCCCTTAGAATTTCCTCATCACATCAGTTTTTCGAGATATCGAGCCCTAAAGATTTAAAAAAGGACGTTTTTGGTCATAATGGAGACAATATATGTATGTAACAGCGCGTAGACATCCCTATTTATATAATCAGTTGTTTCATCTGAAAGTCCATTCAGTCGACTTTAAAATAAATGTTTAACCTCTGTTATATCTTATTTCTTCTTCTTTCTAAAGCTTAAAACAACAAACAATTTACAAAAACTATATTTTATAATTTGAATTGTTTAAGAATCTCTTGTATTTGCTGAGATATCGCCGGTCGAAATTTTTACTGTAAAATAAACATAATTTCGAATTAGTTTGAAGTTAAAGAAGTTCTAAGCTTTGGATTAGGATATCTCGAGGAAATAAGAAGATGTAACGGAAGTAAAGCCTTTATATTAAAGTCGAAAGATTTATCTATCAGATGATATAACCGATTTAAGAAACCAAGATGTTTTCGCGCTTTTATATCGTTTCAAATATGGCCAAACTTTAGAACTCGATATATCAAAAACCTAATGTGATGAATAAAACATGATGTCTGATTCGGATTCAGTAGTTTATTTCTTTGAAATGAAATGTATACAGTATACTCTATTTATCGTTTTCCAGAATATTTTTCGTTATATTCTAATTTACCGCAATATACAAAAAAAAAAAAAAAAAAAACTATTTTCTATAATGATATTTTCAGCCTATAGGAATTAAAAAATATATTCAAATTCCATTAAAAACAAAAAACTAGAAATGTATGACGTAGACAAAAGAACTATTTATTACTATTTCTTTTGATATTCAAATTTAGCATAGATGTTATTCAAATTGTTATGAGTCTGTGCGTATATACTGATTTGGATTTTGTATCTTTATATTTAATTTATGCATGTCTGGTCTGCAAAATCTATTTAACCTATTTTATTTTTAAATCTAAAGAATTTCTAATAGACTCAAGTTTTTGCACAAGGTCGATTCTATATAGGTAAAGTGTTTTAAGTTTAAAAGTTTTGTTAACGATTAGGAAAAAAACTTTACTACTTAGATTTTAATAAATATTTAACAAGGAACAGGATAAAAGAATAACTTCCATAAAATGCATAAAAGAAGTAGAATTTACTAAACGGGAGAGTGTCAAAATATCAACAGCAATGTATAGAAGAGAAGTTAATTTCATTTTAAATGACTTCAACAGAAGCAATTCTTCTTAAGAAGTGATTAAAATGTTGTTTTAAAGAAGGGATCTTATGATCATCTTAATCAACATTTCATTGAATTTTTAAGGGCTGCTCAACGTCAAACAATATTCATATGTAAGTAGTTTATATGCTGCATAAATTTAATCATCTACAACACTATAGTGTAGGGGATAGCCAACCAATAAAACCAGTAACATATTATTTATTTTTAAATAGTTAAAGTTAACGAACAACATTTGGCGAGCAGAAAGCAATTAGAAAGAAAAGAGGTGTTTGAACTTTATGAAGGCCATTAGAAATACATACTTACTTAGAATTTAAAATAAAACAAAATTTATAAAAATTAATTGCAGCAAAAAAAAAAAAAAAAAAAAAACATACCAAAACTAAATTTTCATTATTTTAAATCATTATTATGAGGCAGTAAAAATTAACATACAGAAGATCTTTAAGAAAGTTAAGGAAATATCTAAACAAACCCTTTCTTTAAACATAATTAATGCTTTCTCAGCATAATATTTCTAAGAACACATAGTTTATCAATAAATATATATCTAATGCCATTCATATGATCCAAATTACTAAGAAAACTTATTTTTCTCAAATTATCAGAAATAACACAGTCCAACAATAATTTTTAACCCAGCATTTCTCTATCCCGTCCGGTTTTCGAGAAATCAGGCCCTAACATTAAAAAATGTTTTTGACCATATTTGAGACGTTTTAACAATACGAAGATATCTTTGTTTCTAAAATTGAGTTAAACTAAGCTATATAATTGAGAAAAGTGTAATTGATTATCTGGGTGTCAACCTTTTTAAAATTATGTTGGCCTGTGTAATCGAATTTTCAAACATATTTTGGAAAATAGAGAAGTCACAAAAATGCTTATAAAATCTTCAAAATGAATTTGTTTTCTTAAAAAGTTATATCTTAGATGTGGGCTATCTTGCCGAATATTTTTGCAACAAAAACTCGTATTAATCCAAATCTATAGATAGAGAGTAATGGATATAATCCCACTATATGTTGCTAGAGTAATAATATATTCAGCTGTGTCGAATTTTGGATAACACATATTTAAACCATTTCAAAACCATGTTTCTTAAATTAATTTTGTAACGAATATAAGTTATGATGAAAATCATTTTCTAGTTTTCTTTAAGTAAAAATATCTATTATCTATCTATCTATCTATCTATCTATCTATCTATCTATCTATCTATCTATCTATCTATCTATCTATCTATCTATCTATCTATCTATCTATCTATCTATCTATCTATCTATCTATCTATCTATCATCTATCAATCTATCAATCTATCATCTATCATCTATCTATCTATCTATCTATCTTATCTATCTATCTATCTATCTATCTATCTATCTATCTATCTATCTATCTATCTATCTATCTATCTATCTATCTATCTATCTATCTATCTATCTATCTATCTATCTATCTATCTATCTATCTATCTATCTATCTATCTATCTATCTATCTATCTATCTATCTATCTATCTATCTATCTATCTATCTATCTATCTATCTATCTATCTATCTATCTATCTATCTATCTATCTATCTTCTATATAAATAAAAGAGGAATGTTTGTTCGTTATCGGTAAACTCAGATCTTTACGTGTAGAGTTCACAAGTCCATAGGCCTGTAACGCGGACCGGTTGCCACTAATAATTCGATTTCTATAAAACTTTATTCACAGCTCAGATGTAATTTATAACATCAGCAATATAAATTCTATAGTTTTTGTTTTATAATAAAAGTTGTCAGTTACTGGGGAAATGGGACCGGTTTTAACTGATAAAAATATTTATTTTGCTCTCTGCTTAGACGATGACGTTTTTTTATGTTTATTATTCGCATATTCGTTTTGATTGTATTAAGAAACACATTGATTGCATGAAGAAAAACCAGCATTTACTAAAAACGTAAGTAGTACGTGTTTTCATTTTCCATTACAACATGTAAGTAGTTGGAAAATGCGGAAGTTTTGGAAAAATAAAAATAACAACAATCACTAGTAAAAATGAAAGTCTTTTTGGTTGTTTTTTACGTAAGCAAAATTTTTTATTACTTGTTAATGCTTTTAAATACTTAAATTAGCCTTAAATATCTAAACAATTTATTTATTTAATGAGTACAAAAAAATATCACATTTTCAATTATTTAGATTATTGTTTTGTGTCCGTGTGTGTGTAGGTTTCGTTTTAATTATAATTTTAGTAATAAATTTACTTAGATTTACTATGATGCCTAAGCAGTTTACACTGTTTTAAATAAAATTAAGGTTACAAATTTATATTAAACATAAGATAAATATGTATATTTCAGATGAAATTATTTATTATACATTATATTAATATGTGTGTATATCAGTCAGAAAGTGCCTTGTCTTATGAGATGAAATATGTTTGTTTGTAGATATTTCGTTTTAAATTTGGAAATTACTTATAAATAAATGTCATAAAGTGGTTATTAGGAGTATTTCCTAAATTGGATTTTAGCTAAGGTGCTTTACTTTTATTTAATTGTATTTATATACAAGTATAGCGTTGCCAGATAAAATACAATTTTTAACAAAGTTTTATTTGAAACACAGGCCAACAAATTTTTAATCCAGAAAACAAAGTATACTTTGTGTCATAACAGGTGTCTTCCGTTATTATGAGGACTCAAATCCTTCAGGAATGCATACTTTGGTTTTTGGGTTTCGACTTTTTTCCAAATTTTGTTGACCTGTATAATCTTATTCAGTGATTATGTTAAAAAAAATCAAAATATGTGGGCTGTTAAAACAAAAGCAGCAATGTCCATATTTGTATTTTTGAAATTGACAGGAAACACCTTGTATTTCTAAAGTTTTTGAAACAAAATTAACATATAAGTTTACTTCTTCAAACCTTATGTTAAGATATCTCGAAAATATGAAGTGATACAGAAGTTTGGAGATCAGATTCGGATTTAGATCAACTCAAACCATTAAGAAACGTACAATATATTTTTTTAAAATTTTGTAGGCCTGTGTAATTAATAGATGAATTGGAGCTATATATTAACTTTCATTTGTGTTTTTAGCTTAAATGGAAATAATAGTTACAGCTTTTTTTGCAATTATTGGCATTTTGTATTAAGATTACTTTTTGACACAAACGCATTTTGCATATTAATGTTTAACAATTAATATAACAAAATTAAAACGTTTAAAAAACTAAAACTATTATGCAAATATTCGCAAAGCGAATTTAAACAATAAATAAATAACCGTTAATAAATGTAATGAATGCATATAATATGAGTCCAGAATATTGAAATCTTTTGCAGCTAAATAAGTTTCAATACTTATAGATTTAATAGCTTAATATTCCCACAGAGCGGTTTTAATAGTGAAATTGTGTGTTTGTGCTCTTTAGCAAATATCACACACTGTACATAGAATTGTATTAACACTTATTACAATTAATTTGAATCGTACACAATTATAGTGTAAATTTACTCAAATTGTTCTAACTAATTGTAGTTTACGATTTAGTAGACAAAACGAAATACTTCCGTAGAGTTTGTGTGATAATTGTTTAAGAAATAGTTATTTTGATCACTCGAATAATCATAGTAATTATATAGATTTTGTTGTTGTAACAAGTTTTGTCTTTCCTGTTCCTCTAGTTGTTGTTGCTGCTGACGATAACGCATTTGTCGCCTGGCCCATTGATCATAATTGTTGGACAATTCTTCATAGTAAATATCTTCCTCATATTCACCGGAATCATCATAATCAGGATCATAATGATGGGGACGAGTAAACAAACCCGCTGATGTAGTCATTTTTAATAGAATTACTTCCAAGATGCAAACCAGCATAAGTAAACCCAGTAAAGCTAAATGGGTATGATCCCAAAGCTCGAGTTTCTCCCAGCCCCCAATTAGGGAAGCTTGTAGTATCATTTTAATTAATTTTTAGTTTTCTTTTTTTTTCTTAATTAATCAGCGCAATTCACTTGTTTTTTCTTCTAACACATTACAATTTGTTATTACTTTGAACTAATAATATTCTGTGACAGTCTTTATTTGAGTGTGTGTTTGTATATTTATTTTATTGTATTTTAATTTACACTATTTTTGGTTTTTTGACCGCGTTTTAGAAAATTTAAAAAGAGCGACTTTCTCGCACGACTGTTACTTCTGTATTGTTTATTTGAAAATTTGCGAGTCATTGTACAAGCTGTAGTTTCTTGTTGAATTGTGATGTCTCAGCCAACCTGAATCTACTGCTCTACGTTGTGTATAGTTTATTTTATTTTATTTTTTGAAAATATGTTTGTCAGTGATTCACAATCTTTGACCTAAACATTAACACAAAAACTACTTTCACATTTTGTTCACATCAAATGTTTTTCGTTCTTGAAGAAAAAAAACGTTTGAGAATCGCTTTATTAAATTTCGTTTTTTTTTTTTGTTTGTTAACTCTATTTTCGCTTCTTTCCTAAAACTTGTTTGATTAAAAAAAACAACAAAACTGTTTTGAGTACGTAATTGTACTCGTCGCAAAAAAGTAATTTGTTTATGATTTTGTTTTTTGAATTTTTTATTTATTATTTTGCATTCACTTTGTGTGGCGCCAATTTAAAAACAAAATACATACAAAAACTTTCCTTAGAACACTTACATATGTATTTAGTTGAATACTATGAAAGGAATTTTAAAATAAACAATTAAACTAGTTCTTTAGTTTAATTATTTCATCATATAACGGTTTCATACTGATTCATCTGATAATTTTATGAAATCTTTTGATAACATTTAAAAAATATTCGTTTCTTTTGGGAGACGATGTTTGTTGTTCTTAGGATATTATAATGACGTATGTCAAATCAAGTTTTTTGTTTTGTTATTAATAATTAGAATTGTGAAATTTTATTTTTAAATGTTCTTTTGATATAATAAACATTAGTATAGCTCCGTTTAAGGACTATATAAGATAGATAGATAGATAGATAGATAGATAGATAGATAGATAGATAGATAGATAGATAGATAGATAGATAGATAGATAGATAGCTCGATACTAGCTCGATCGATAGATCGCTCGCTCGCTAGCTCGCTCGCTCGCTCGCTCGCTCGCTCGCTCGCTCGCTCGCTCGCTCGCTCCTAGCTCGCTAGCTCGCTCGCTCGCTCGCTCGCTAGCTCATGCTCGCCTAGCTCGCTCCAGCTCGCTCGCTCGCTCGCTCCTCGCTCAGCTCGCTCGCTCGCTCGCTCGCTCGCTCGCTCGCTCGCTCGCTCTCTCGCCCTCTCGCTCGCTCGCTCGCTCGCTCGCTCGCTCGCTCGCTCGCTCGCTCCTCGCTCGCTCGCTCGCTCGCTCGCTCGCCCTCGCTCGCTCGCTCGCTCGCTAGCTCGCTCGCTCGCTCGCTCGCTCGCTCCTCGCTCGCTGCTCGCTCGCTCTCTCGCTCGCTCGCTCGTCGCTCGTCGCTGCTGCTCGCTCGCTCGTCCCTGTTTCTTTTGCTCCCTTCGTCGCTCCGTTTCCGCTCTTCCGCTCGCTCTCGCTCGCTCGCTCGCTCGCTCGCTCGCTCGCTCGCTCGCTCGCTCGCTCGCTCGCTTCGCTCGCGCTCGCTCGCTCGCTCGCTGCTCGATCTGCTCTCTCGCTCGCTCGCTCTCGCTCGCTCGCTCGTCGCTCGCTCGCTCGCTCGCTCGCTCGCTCGCTCGCTCGCTCGCTCGCTCGCTCGCTCGCTCGCTCGCTCGCTCCTCTCGATCGCTCTCGCTCGCTCGCTCGCTCGCTCGCTCGCTCGCTCGCTCTCGCTCTCTCGCTCGCTCGCTCGCTCTCTCGCTCGCTCGCTCGCTCGCTCGCTCGCTCGCTCGCTCGCTCGCTCGCTCGCTCGCTCGCTCGCTCGCTCGCTCGCTCGCTCGCTCCTCGCTCGCTCGCTCGCTCGCTCGCTCGCTCGCTCGCTAGCTCGCTCGCTCGCTCGCTCGCTCGCTCGCTCGCTCGCTCGCTCGCTCGCTCTCGCTCGCTCGCTCGCTCGCTCTCTCGCTCGCTCGCTCGCTCGCTCGCTCGCTCGCTCTCTCGCTCGCTCGCTCGCTCGCTCGCTCGCTCGCTCGCTCGCTCGCTCGCTCTCGCTCGCTCTCGCCGCTCGCTCTCGCTCGCTCGCTCGCTCGCTCGCTCGCTCGCTCGCTCGCTCTCTCGCTCGCTGCTCGCTCCTCGCTCTCGCTCGCTTCGCTCGCTCGCTCGCTCGCTCGCTCGCTCGCTCGCTCCTCTCTCGCTCGCTCGCTCGCTCTCGCTCCTCGCTCGCTCGCTCGCTCGCTCGCTCGCTCGCTCGCTCGCTCCGCTCGCTCGCTCTCTCGCTCGGTCGCCCCTCTCCCCGTCGTTTTCCCTCGGGCCTCGGTGCCCTCCTGGGCTCCTGTTTTTCTTTTTTACAGCCAACCTTATCCAGCCTATGATGTCTCCCTCCTATACGAATGGTCCAGCCTAGAACGTCTAAAATTTTAATAATATTAATTCTATGGCAGATATTTGATGTGTCACAAACGGATTGACAAAATCAAAACGCCTCCCATCTTTTTTGATGTTAGTTATAACAGAAAAATATTGCTGAAAAGATCACTATTTAGTAGTTACAGTAATAAATACGGCATCACTTTCTGTAAACTGCCTAAAAGTAGGCTTTATATACAAAGTATAATTGGCAAAGAAACTAACATTCATATCTATTTGTGTCTATGTTTGTATCTTAAACTATAGTTGAACAAACACATTAATAAAATATTTCTTGCAACCAACGTGATGACTTTTTGCACTTTGAATTCACGTTATTTGATCTTGCAAAAATTATATAAAAATTTTAATTTCACATAATTTAAAAATTAATAAAATTAAAAAAAATCTAATCCTTTAATATGTTACCGAAATGTCCCATGAACATTTATATAAATAATAATGGATAATCTATAACTTTATATCGTCACCTGAAACGCAAACGGCCCTAACTAAGCAAAAATTAAAAATCGATTTTATTGTTGATTCCAATGAATTGCATCACCAAAAATTGGACTCCTCCGACCAAAATTTATTGACAAAAAACGAAAGGCCCTATCAACAAAGACATTTTAATATTGACGGAAAAAGTCCATTTTTTATCCATTTTTATATACACCATTGTCAACTATCATAACAAATGATAGGTTTCACTATTAAATAATTTGTTTATTTACTACAAATAAATCGCGTTGTTAGAAACAACATTTTCAGTATAAATAGTTTTTTGTTTCTTCTGTAAAATTTTAAAAATGTTAGATAGGGCCGTTTGCGTTTCTGGTGGCGATATGTATTTTATGTAAATATTTATTCCAACTCAAGGGCATAATATATAATTTTTTAATAATACTTTTTAAAAAATGTTTTCTTCATATTTTTGTATTTTTTTCTTATTTACTTGTAATTTTTTTATTATAATCATTGATCAGTTATAATTTCTTTAAAAAAAAGTTTTTCTTTTATTTAGCAAACACTATTTACACACTTGACACACTTTGATCAGAAATTTTGCTTAATTATTTATTTTGTATTTATGTATTCAATAAAAGTGAATTAACAATATTTAAACTCACAAACATACCAACGCTTTCGGGGAGTTGCAAAAAATTCAATTGTAACACTCATTGCATTATAATTATTTATTATTCTTTAACACTGATAACTACTATTTATGCAAACAAATATATCTTAAATATATTTATTCAGCTTGCAATCAATCCATTTAATCGATTTAATTTTTAGTTTAGAAGTAACTACTATTTTTAATTAAATACATTTCAATCACACCGTGACTTTTGAACATTTGAATTCTACAACTGTCAGAGAGTTTATGTTTATGGATCGTGGTAAATGTGCACAATTGACACAATTGGTGGGTTCTTCATTGTCAAATCGTTTGGCTCATTGGTTTTTCTCTTTCAGTCTTTTAGGGTGTGCTTGTGCAGTCCAAAATCAAATGAGTAAGAAGCTTTGTTTGGGCTCATACTATTTCTATGACTTTTTTGTGTATTTGACAGGAAATCAGAATATTGAAAAAATGAGAGGTTTTTTCTCTTCGTTCGTATTATAAAGTATCATAGAATTCTAATTAGACGTTTGGCTATTAACCAAAAAATGTTGAAGGGAAAGTTTTATAAACAATCTTATTAGTGTAATAAAGAACTGATTAGATTTATGAAATTGTGTGTTTAATTAGTTAAAGCCAGAGAACGCTGAGCATAATTAGGAAAGAATTTTTAAACAGTGTTAAAAATAAAATAATAATTAAAGAATGCACAATGGGTACGTTTTTATGTAAACATTTATAAATTTGGAACTATCAGAACCGATATTTTTGTCAAAAACGTAAAATAAGTAAGGATCGAAAACATAAAATCGGTTCTAACTTCGTTAAAACAAGTTTAAATTGAAAAGGGGCTTAGATTTTTTATCACTCATATTTCGATCGATTTTTTTGTCGAAAACATAAAATCCGTCTCGATTTGTGATCACTCACTTTTCTCTTCGAAAATTGATTTTTTGCCTAAAAAATAAAAACGGATCTATTTTGTCTAATTTTGATCGACAACTAAAATTGGATCTGACTTTGTCGAAGGGCACTTTAATTGAAAAAGGTCATCGATTTGTAATGTTTATAACCTACACCACTATAATAGGGAGGGTATTATGCGTTTGTGCTGATGTTTGTAACTCATAAACGCATTGGTCCTAGATCCATTTTAAAGTCCGCCTGGCTGGTTGTCCATGTAAATCTTGTGTATAAGGTACAGGGCGTAATTTTCCAGATATTTTGATATAATTTGGACCATATGTGTTTTATGCACAGGTACGAAGCCTATAGAAAATGGTCGAAATCGGTCCATTATTTTACCAAGCTAACTAACAACCGGACTTTCCGAGTCGGGCCTTTTAGCACATTACGTCAAATATAATACTATCTCTCTAAAACTTGGCACAACTAAGTTTTATATAAGCATAAATGACACTTTTGTTATGATCGGTCCTTATTTAACTGTAGCCCCCATACAAACCCCCCTTTAAAAATGCCTTAAACGTCCAAAACTGACTTAAAACCATTAGTATCACGGTAAGATTCAGCATAACTAAGTTTTATATAAAAATATATCTTTCTTCCAAATTTTATGAGGATCGGCCCATATTTGACCCTAACTATCATATAAAACCGCT